GTCAGTTCGACTTCCAAGGTCAGTTCGACTTCCAAGGTCAGTTCGACTTCCAAGGTCAGTTCGACTTCCAAGGTCAGTTCGACTTCCAAGGTCAGCTCTACTTCCAAGGCCAGCACCACCTCCAAGGCGTCCACAACTGCAAAGCCAAGCACCACGTCCAAGCCCACTACTTCTACGAAGCCCACCACTTCGTCTAAGCCTACTACTTCGTCTAAGCCCACCACTTCGTCTAAGCCCACCACTTCTGCCAAGCCTACGACCTCTACCACATCTGTAAAGGCGTCGACTTCCAGCAAGCCTACCGTGTCGGCTTCCAGCACGAACGTGGGTAGAGGTGTGACCAGCTCAACTATCAGCTCCACCTCTTCCAGCGTCCTGTACCCCACGACAACGAGCAAGTGGTCCAACTCGACGATTACTCGTGGCTCGGCGTCTACTACTCCTGCTGGCTCTGCAACTGTTTCCCTCACGACCAGCGTTGTTTACACCACGTCTGTGCACACCGTTACCAAGTGCCCGTCCTACGTGACCGACTGCCCAGCCGGAGGCTATGTGACCACGGAGACTATTGCTCTGTACACTACCGTCTGCCCCGTCAGCGAGGCAACCCAGACTGCTGCCCCTGTGACCACGGCGCCTGCGACCACGGAGGCTTCTCAGCCTTGGACCACCAGCACTGTGTACACGACTCGAGTCTACACCATCACATCTTGTGCTCCTGACGTTCCCAACTGCCCGGCGAACCAGGTCACGACCGAGACGATTCCCCTGTACACTACTGTGTGCCCCGTGACGGCGGCAGCTACCAGCACCCCCGTTGGACCCGCCAGTGTCGAGTTCCCTCAGAACACGGACGTTGGACAGCCTTCTGCCGGTGCTCCTGTCGTTGAAGCTGCCTACCCCACTGCTTCCAGCATTCAAACCATTGTCAAGCCTGTCACCTCCGTCGGAGTGCCCCAAGGTCCTTATGGTGGAAGCAGTGTTGTTACCAGCTCTCCAAGCCAGCCAACCAACCCTGCGGGTTCTCCCAGCTACCCCAGCGGCGGTTCCGGCAGTGCGGCGCCTTCTGGAAGCTGGAGCGGCGTGCCCGTTGGTCCTTCTACGATCCCTAGCATTCCTGGAGCAAACGGTGCCTCTGTGATGAGTGCTAGCCTGGTTGGTTTGGCCATCGTTTTGGCTGCACAGGTTCTTGTTCTGTAGAAGATAGACATGTTCGATTTGTGTTTTACGGATGGACTCTCCCAAGAGAGCCATTATTTCTTTTTCTTAAAATACTTGTTCTTCTGAGACCCTTAATGACGGGTTGACGAGGAACCTTTTATCATTATATTTTTCTTTTTTTATGTCGATACGGTCTGGATATGTGTAGGACTTGCTGTATACCTTAGCTTATGACGATGATTTTACAGGCCATTAACGGAGCGCATTCCGGTTTCAATATGTTATATTATTTTCATCCTGAAAGCTGGCTTTATAAGTGACTGGGTATACTCCGTAGTTAATTTGCACTGTACAGCTGTGTAACGCTTGAGATTGTTTGTAGTGGAGACGTTGCATTCTGAATGCCAATTTACTGAGAGAGTTGACAACTTGATTTGCCGTCAGTTTAGCCAAGTTGTCGTTCTTTCATAGCCACAATGAATACGAACAAAGGCCCACTTCGACTAGGTTAATTATGCCAGATCAGATTGAGACAATCTATTACCTGATTTCCCCCGCACTATCCTCATCCGCCCATTCACTCACTCACTCACTCACTCTATCTTGCAAGCCACTCCGAAAACTTACAAACTTCCGCCCATTTATACACCTTTGACCTTTCTAGTATAGAAAAAAAAAATAGAATAACACAACATACAATGGCAGCTCGATCCCCCGACGGAACGCCCATCGACCTCGCAGAAAACAGACGCCGAATGGCCCGCGGCGAGCTCTACTGGGCCTTTACGCCAGATCTCATCCAGGACAGAAAGCAGTGCGCCAGGGCGTGCAGGAGGTTGAATACGGCTGAGGAGGTTAGCAGGCGAGAACTCGTCGAGATTTGGAAGGAGTATGTTTTTTGGGTTACTCATTTATCCTCTTAAAGACCGAGCTTTGACCCGTGATTTTTGGATGAAGAGTTCTTCTTACTGATGTTTCTCCTTTTTATTTTTTATAGTATTACTAGAGATGAAGAGCCACTGCCGCCAAAAGCTGCCAGTGAAGAAGAAGATGATGCCTTGTTGGAGGATTACCCATGGGTTGAAGGACCGCTAAAGACAGATTACGGATACAACATCAAGTATGTCCACCCCTTTTCCATGAACAACCCAAACACAAACCCCCCTATTAACACCCCATAGACTCGGAAAAAACGTCTTCGTCAATTCAAACAGCACCTGGATCGACACCTGCCCCATCACCATCGGCGCCCGCACGCTCATCGGCCCCAACTGCAGCTTCTACTCCGGCACGCACCCGCTAGACCACCGCGTTCGCAACGGCACGCGCGGGCCCGAGTCCGGAAAGCCCATCCACGTCGGCGAGGACTGTTGGTTCGGCGGCGGCGTGACGGTCCTGCCGGGGGTGACGATTGGTACAGGGGCGGTGGTTGGCGCGGGGAGTGTCGTGACGAAGGATGTTCCTGAGGGGGTTGTTGTGGCGGGGAATCCGGCGAGGGTGTTGAGGAAGACGATTGAGGAGACGGGGAATGGAGCTGTTTGAGGGATGTATTAGAGGGGTGTTGTGTTTGTGAGGTCGTGGATAGAGTATAGAGTTGCGTTAGACATCTCTGATAGAATATACAATATTTTTGTTTATTAGCGAGTTATAACTCAATCCGTGATCTCCCAAAAGTCCCAAGGCCTGATCTACGCTCTTATGAAATTGATCCCTCCCTCATATCCTCTTTCTCGGGCGTCATATCTCCGCTCGTTTCACCCTCAATAGCCATCGTGACCACCGGTGGTGCCTTGCCGGTGACAATTCCAGTGAGAACTCTAACCAACGTTGCCCTGCTCTCCCATATCGGGTACAATCCAACACAGATAAACGAACAAAAGATCCAAATGATGCCAACAGTCACCCAGCCGGTGAAGAAAGGCTTGGAGAAGATATACCCGGTGCCGTACATGGGCATTGGCCAAAGAACGAGGAACGCAATTGCCCTGTTTCGCATGTTAGTGGCATAACTCCTTGGGACGGGTGTCCAGATGACTCAAACTTACATAAAGACAGTGACAAAGCTGGCAATCTTGAATGCCTTGTTAAGCTTCCGGCGCTCTTCCTCAGATTCTGTACGTTCCTGGTTTCTTTCCAGCTGTCGTTGTGCTTCGCTGTCAAGCCCTGACGCCTGGATCATGTCGTGGTCGTCCACCTTTCGAATCTCCATCATGGACTGCCAGTTGTACTTGTCAAAACCAAAAATGAGACAGAATAGCGGCACAAGAACAACAGGTGCTAGTAACGCAACCACGTTGCCAGCCAGCATCGGATCGTTCGAGCCAGTGCAGTCGACATCCAGCTTGCCGCACTTCTTCTTGGCAGTGACGAGCCAGGCAACAATGGCGCAGATTGTGCCTAAAATAGGTGAGAAAATTGCTGCCCAGCGGTTTTGGCCGTTCCACAGCAGTGTCAATGTGGCTGGGATCACGGCAGCCGAGATTAACACGCCCATGAGCAGATAGAGGTAGCCCATGGAGATACCGTTATACCATAAGCCAGTGGAGATGCAGCAGACGACGAGCATATAGGCGACCATGGACATATGAGACATCCATACGAGACTCTTGCTGCTGGCCGTAGGGCGAATATAAGTCCTGTAAATGTCGTATGTGAAGATGGTGGATGTTGCTACCAGCTCAGCACTGAAGGCTGATGTGACGGCCAAGAACAGCATAATGAGAGTAGCAATGGCGCCACCTTTGCCCATGAGGGCTACGGCGGCGTAAGGAAGAGCCAAACCAGCAGAGACCTGCGAATCTGTAAGGCGGTTAGGATACGTTGGGAATTGAGGGCTAGACTCGAGGGCAAGCGCTGCGAGGCCGAGAGTGGTGGCTGTCAACCACGGAATAGCAAACCATGCCGCACCGCCCATGATGTATCCCGGCAAAGCATGAATAGGGCTTGCTGCGATACTCTTGTTATAGTAGCCGTTATCCAAGAACACAGTGCCAAAGTTTCCAACGATGTTGATGACGAAGAAGATGGCTCCACCCTGAGACTTCATGGTGAGATAGCTACCGTCGCGGTTGCCAGAGACAGGATGGGCCTGGGCAGCTTTGACGAGGAGGTCGTATACGGCTGCCGGGCTGCCGAGCACATCAGAGGTGGCGTAGGTCTTGAGAGCAAAGATCATGATGATAATGAGCACTGCAAACGTGTGGATATAGTCTGTGATGAAAGTGGCCTTGAGACCACCAGACACCGTATAGGCCACGACGGGGATGGGAATGAGGAAGATGGCTGCTACGGCATGCATCCCGGTCAACGCATTTACAGTTGCTGCTCCTCCCGTGATCAACATGAGTGAAACCAGCATGTTGGTCATGAGGCCGAAGACGATGAAAGTAAAGTGTGCTGCTTTGCCATATCTTGCCTTGATGACTTCCAGGAACGTATGAGCATTGGGTGCTCGCTTCTTGAGCGTGATGGCTATTGTAGCAAACAGCAAGATCTGAACAGTAGCTCCAGAGGCATACCAGAAAGGACCGGAGACGCCATATCGGTAGCACACACCCGAGCTCTGTAATAGAGTCGCGGCCCAGGTCCAGGAAGAGACGACAGCTGAGGCCACTAAACCAGATTTGACGGTACGGCCAGCAGTATTGAACATTTCAGACGTCTGAACTTCATTGTTGAACCGTTTAAGAATGTGAGTAACGGTGATCTATTACAAGGCATGTTAGGAGATGCTGCTTAGGGGTTGATTGAAGGAAGCAAGTCTCAGTCAGACTCACCATGAAGATGGCAAATGCAAAGCCGAGGCCGAGAACAATGCCATAGCCATAGGCTTGGCTCAGTGGGGTCGAGCTTGAGTCAGACATGATTCTGACCAGGAGTTGATGCTTCACCAGGAAGGCTGCCCAACACGTTGCATTCAAGATCTCTCCTCTTGCCGATTAAGCTGTCCAAATCCGGAGACAGAGGGAGAGAATACGTGGATATGTAGCATCTTGCACAAGCTGTTATCTAGATGCTTTTCATTCAATCATGGCTCTCGTAGATTCGGCCGGTTCCGGTGCAAAGCCTTGCCAGGACCAACAATCTCTTCTTGGACATGATTAAACCCCCAACTCCCACTTGGTGATTTTCCATCTTGTAGATTGCGTTTTCTCGCTAGAGAGATATGATAAGAACGAATGAATCTATTGCATCAGTCACAGGCAAAAGCGAAAGCGGCCTTGCGACGATGAATTGCGACATTTTGACACATTAAGCTTGTGTTCTGAGGCTACTGTATCGTAGGGCTGCCGATCGGTAGTGAAGCGTATCAAAGACACAGCTTCTGGGGTAGCGCTGACAGTTGCAGGGGAGCTGATAATGGATGATAGGATCGAGGCCATGGCAAAAGCAAATACAGGCTAAACAGCCAAAATGATTGTAGAGTGCTGCTTATCGGCCGCGCCCTTTGGTGAAGTGAAGATCTGGTTGGCTCAGGAATGTGAGGATATAGTAATGACAGCTTAGTGGTCGAGATAAGGTCGAGATAGGAGATCCTTGACAGCTGCTATAGATAGGTGCCGCGCCCCCCGCAAAATTACCCCATGCCCTAGGACTAGGGAATGGCACGAACCGCGGAGAAGGCCTGTAAGAGCCGGGGATGGATGAATTGACAGAGATAAGATACAATGTCAACGCATGGAGAGATAACAGTCATCAGACAATTAATCGCTTCATTCTCCCTATCTTTGGAGATATAGATATATTCGTAAGATGTAGCGATTAGTAGATGCGGTACGGAATATTACTGTACTTCGCAGTAGCAATAAGTCATAGCAGAGATGGATAAGAGATAGCTCCACTCAGCTCACCCGGATATGGGAGATAAGCAGACATTGATACAACACACAGCTCCAGCAAACGAAAACGTCGATTGGTGATACAAACGACTAACCATCTCGGATGATACCGGCCAGCTCTTCTTCGCTATCGGCTTCACACATTATGCAACACTGATAAGGCGATGAGGTGAAGACGAGAGTCAATGGTCAAGGGAGATTCGTGAATTCTCAAGTAATTCCATAGGCTAATGTCATTGTCATCTCCTCGGGCAGATTGCGATTACACGTAATAGCGTTTCATGATGTTAATGACACTGGATATCATCTGCCGCCGGCCATCTCGATCTTAGTCTCTCCATGCAAGATGCGGTTGTGGGGGCAGTAGAGTATAGTTGAAGGTATCACATGTACATTTGCTGTTCGTTGAAGAGGCTTCCTCTTCCCGAAGCATATGATTGGTGATACTGTAACAAACCCATGGTATCATTGTGACCATTGCGCCGTGATCAGCAATCTCTTCTTCTGTCGATCTCGGAGAATGTAGGAACGACCTCCTAGGAGATGATATGGATTGATAGGAGAGTATATGCAGCTCTTTCGCGCTGATTCTCGCTCTGCTCTTCTGTGCCTGCTACTTTCCAATAGCTTAAATGTGTCACCGTCCCAGGTCGACACCTCGTTTTGACGCATCCATCAGCCCTTCTTCAAATATACTGGCCCAGCGTTGTGCCAAGTCTGATATATCAAACGACATGCCCTGAGCAGCACTACCGAGCTCGGCCACAACGGACGTCGCCAGCTTTCCCTCAAGGCCACAGGGGACGAACCGAGCCCACGGGTTGACAGTCTCGCTGCCCTTTACGGTGACATCAATGTTGATGGCAGTGCCCAAAGCTGTGACGTACCGCCGGTGGTGGACTCCAAGAGCTGCAATCTTGCGCGGCTGGCCCGACGAAGCCCGAACCCAGACTCCAGGCTCATCACGATTGGTATATGTTTCAATGTCAAACATGTCCGCGAGAAACTGCTGTGTGGTCGCCTCAAGATGACTAGCAAACGTGGAGACACTGTATTTGGGATAGAGGGAAGAATGCATGTCCAGCACTGGCCAAAGGACAAGCTGGCCAGGGCCATGATATGTGGTGAGGCCGCCGCGGTTGGTCTTTTTCACCCGAGGATGAGAAAGCATTTTGATGGGCTGAGGATGCCGCAAAAGATGGACGTACAACGGCCACTCTAAATGTGTCTTCTGGTCTTGAGTGAGATCATCCTGTCGACGTCCAAGCGTGAAAGTTGGCGTAGATTCAAATGATATAAGACGAGGTCGTGGACACTCATGCTCTGCCCTCGACTTTTCGGGGAGGCCCTTCCAGGTCAAAAAGGCAGCCCGATGCCGTTCCTGGGCATCTTCGGCAGATTCATAGCTCGTCAGGCCGGTAGATTCATCTTCCGTGAGATGCTGGTGCTCCAGTAGAGTGCCCCTCGAAGTCGTCGTCTCCCATCGTTGGCCCTCTATTGACACTGCGGCCTTTTGCACCAAATGCCGTCTCGATAATCCCGCCGCCCTCACCCTCACGAGTTGTAGGCGGGGCACGTGCCACATCTTGTGACTTGGATTGAGTGCCTCCTAGCAAGTTAAAAGCAGCAGCCGTAAAGGGGAATAAAGAAGGTTGACAAAGGCGTTGATGCAGCATTGCCTATTAGCCGCAGGTATGGACATGCTAACGTTAGTCGATATTCGGCGGTACAGAGAGGCGAAATCTTGTAGCGCCCGAGAGACGCTAAAAGCGAGGTTGTGGATGCTGCTGACGTGACGCCGCCGGCGAACTTGGTGACGACTCCAGCAGCCAAAATCAAAGGGCTTCAGCTATCGATGCCTTCTTTCCTCCGCCCTGGCTGATCATGTGAATGCTGATCCGAGTCTATCGGTTCGGCACACCACATTCTAACGCCTCATCCATTGCCTGGCCAAGCAACCAAGTACGCATCACCGGCTTCATGACATCAAACGGCTTGAGAATCCGCTGTGGAGATGGCCAACAAGGTTTGCGCCAACGACGGCCGCACCGCCAATTGTGCCATTGAGGTGTGTTTTTTGGATGATATACACGTACAGTGATGGAATGCGTGCTCTGTACCTTTGGTTAGTGGGCTTTAAAAACCGTCAAGTGTTGACTCGTATTTGGCACTTAAGATGCTGACGGGTTGCCCGTTTGGCATTGCTGTAGCATCTTTCAAATTCAATTTGAGCTGTACAAAGAGATGGAAGCAGAATTGGGTTCCCCGGTCTCGGCATAAGCATAATCACCAACCAATTGACAGAGCCGAAGTGATTGAATCAAAACGTTTCTCGGCTTCGTTCCATCTTTCTCGTTTGCTTGTGTCGTCATCGCCCTGCTCCACGATCCTGCCAGCCAACCAGAGCCGGTGCCAGCCCGCCAAAAGCTTCCTGGCACTAGTATATCCAAGCCAGACTAGCATCGGGAGCTGCAGCAGCGCGATCGCCAGAATGTGAATGTGATTGTGGGTGACCTCTCGTTGCGACATCGTCACTCGCTCGTCGAGTAACTTCTACGTAGCCCCAAGCCATTGAAGCCACTGGAATATTTGTAGCCTGTACTTGACATCGGAACAACGTAACCGTGGACCTGCGTGGCTCAATAACTGCATCATCAAGCCCCGCCGCTCCTGCCCCAGTCCTGCCTGCCATATCCAGCTTTGATCCCTTCAGCTTCTACTTCAGCTTCTTTTCTGCCCTTTTCTCATTTTTCACCACTTGAATTACTTATTATCCAATTATCGACATAATTACACCGTTTCCCCAATCGCCTCTGCCGGTTTGCGCTCTCAACGAGAGTCTGTTTAGGACCCTCTGAATATCCCTAGCTGAAGCAGGGTCTCCTGCAGCATCTGTGTCGTCATTGTTCTTGCAGCATCCTACTCCTTACTATCATTACTGTCTCTTGGATTCCGGAAGACTTTCGTTGGCGGTGCAATTCCGCCTAACCGTATCCTCCAACAACTAATTACCAATTGTGAAGCCGATCCAAGATGCCTAAGAGTAGGTTTGCTCTCTTATAACATTCTCTAGCATCACCATCACCAACTTTACCGCCCAATCCGTCCGCCCATGACGAGAAGCAAGTTTGACTAACCAATAAACCTCCATAGACGTCATTCTAGGCACTTTCGGCCTCATTCTCCTATCCACCTCCATCTTGTTCATCTGGTTCATCATCCTCCCTGGCGTCACGCATGATACTCCCTTCAGAAAGACATACTACCTTCGCGCCGACACCAGCGGCATCACCGGCGCCCGAGACATCTCCCAGTGGACATACTTCTTCATCTGTGGCCTCAACAATAACGATTGCGGAGATGCTCACCCCGCCATCCCCTTCGGGTTTGCCTGGGACAGCAATGCGCAGAACGTGCCACCGGGACTTGGTGGAAGCCATGGCAGCCACACAACGTCGTTCCATTACTTTTTCATGTGGCGATTTGGATGGGTGTTCCTGCTCATGACATTGTTCTTTGAGGTTATGGCACTCTTCACCGCATTCTTATCCTGCTGTGGTCGCCTAGGTGCTGCGCTTGCCTTTGTTGTCTCTGCCATTGCTCTCTTCTTTTTCACACTCGCCGTAACTATCATAACGTACGTCAGGCCAAAGAGTCGTGCATTTCACCTATCTATGGGTGTCTGCCCGCGTAACCACTTGTAGAATCACTCGCTAACAGCCGTTACACAGTGCTACTTTCGTTGAAGCTCGCAACCGCTTTCACGATGCTGGTCGCTCGGCCCAGATCGGAGCTTACGCCTTTGGATTTCTCTGGGGTTCATACGCGGCCCTTCTCTTTGCCACCATCCTGTTCGCCCTCGGCATTCGTTCTGATACCAGCTTTGGGTTGAGACGCCGGCGTAGTGAGAAGGGTTCTCGCGGACGCTCTTACGATGGTCATCGGGTTAAGGAGGACTACTCGTAAACATAACGATAGCGGCTCTTCTTGTGATCGTCCATATACCAGAAACTTAGGAGAAGAAGAGAAACGAAAAAAGACGTACTAATAGTAATACTAGCTTGAGAGTGTCTGATTATGCCAGGCTCTAATACGTTGAAGGAAGTCTCAGCGTTAATGACACAGAAGGGGGGGGGGGGGGCAGATCCCAGAGATTATTGACATCACGAGCCTTCTCGTGGTAAATATTCGTCTGAGGCTTGGATGACGATGATGGTTCTTTGCAAATACCTACACTCGCTGGTAGCACACAAATATCGTTACATAGGCTTTGAAATATCAATTTTCAGTTTTAAAATCCTGTTTGTAGTGCTAAGGGGATGCAAATGGCCAGGGCTAGCATTTCACCTTAATCGTCTTGCAAACATCACCGGCGCAGAGCAAAAGTCGTGCGTCTTTGATTTTGATCAAATCGTATACATGGATGATAGATATAATTAATTTGCAACGTTGCCATCGTATTCTTGGCCTTGTGTGTTTCATATGCGTACAAGAAAACTCCCAAAAAAAAATCTTTCCCGCCGTATACACCTAATGCCTGAACATCCCTCCACCCCATATGCCCATCCTCCATCCCAGTCCAGTCCATCCCCGCTTCGCCTACAAGAAAAAAAAAGATATGCAATAGATGAGATATAGATATAGTATGAGATGCATAAAAAAAAAGGAGACCGAGAAAGAAAAGAAGAAGACGAAGAGATTTTTTTGCGTCATGATGGAGCGAATCAAAAAATAAAAAAGGTAACAAAGCTCGAGTATCGTCCGCTAGTAGCTCCCTTTGATGAAAAAAGAACAAAAATCCTCCGTCTAAGAAATTGAGGCCAATGGGCTGAGGTTGTTGTTGCTGTGATGCGTTGCGTACAAGCAGGCGACTTTTCCGTGGTCGTGACTGGAGGAGAGTGTGAATGGTTTCGCTTCTTCCTTTTTTCTTCCTCTTCTGACCTTTTTGCTTTATTTGTACAAGTGACGAGTAGTCATCCACCATCAGTTTTTTTCCTCTTCGCTTTTTGATGCTATTTCTGATTCGTGTTGATAAGTTCAACCAACCCAGATACCAGCTCCTGTTGGCAAATGTCATAGCGCCGACTCCTTGCTTTTTGGTAGGTCAGCCCAATGCGGCTAAATATTTGGCCCGGTGGTGCAATAGGCAAACAGATTTCTACTCCATCTCGCGTCGTCTTTTTTTGTAACTCAAAATTATTCGTGTGTCGATAACTCATAGACCTTGGTTGATAACAGGGCTTCCCAGCGGGCTGATACTGTCCAGGGGTGCGGCATGAAGCGCTGGCTTGCTAGGACCATCGCCGTTGTGCCCATCCGCGTTCTTCTTCAGTACAGACTTGACCCATTCAGCAACCTCGGCGTCTTCGGTGCCCGAGCTCAGATCCATGTGTCCCACCACCTCTGCTACCTTATCTGCGGCCTCACCATCTTCGGCGACTTCAGTAATCGTTTCCGGCTTGGTTAAAGACTGGATCCAAGGATGCTTAAGCAGCAGAGCGTATGTCGGCCGCATCTTGGGAATCTTATGTAGACAGCTCTTGACAAAGTCCTTTGCCATATCCGTGTAACCCTCCTCTGGCATGGCTGGGGGTTCCCCTTCAACGATTGCCTGTAATTATCTAGTCAGCGAGAATTCCATCATATCGGTCAGTAGCAAACTTACATTCAGTTGACTGAAAATGGTGGAGGAGGCTTCAGGTGGGTATGGGTACTGGCCCATGGCGCACTCGATGATTGTCAGGCCTAAGCTCCAGACATCGCTCTGGACGCTGTAGGTACCATCCGTACCGCCTGGTTGTGCCATGGCACCTCCAGATATCCGCTCAGGGGCCATGTAACTCTGGCATCCAATGTTTGTCTTGGCTATACTAGCCACAAGATTGCCGCTGACGCCGAAATCGCAAATCTTGATCTGGCCTCGTGTGTTGGCTAGGATATTTGTTGGCTTTACGTCACGATGGATAATGTTATGCTCGTCTTTCAGTGACTTGAGGCCCATGATGGCTGAGTAGGTAATTTTGCGCAGGACGTTTTCAGGTATGCCTCCGGCGTAGATCTTATCGATGGAACCACCATCCATGTACTCGATGCACATGTAAACTGCGCCCTCTTGAAAGAAGGCTCCGTAAAAGTCAATGATGAATGGAGAGACACACTCGTGCAATATGACCAACTCTTTGAGAATAGTAGTGAACTTGGCGTCATCGAGCTCGAGTCGAATTTCCTTCATCGCCATTACTTTACCGGTCCGACCGTCCAATGCGCTTGCAGCATCTGTGACCGCCGAGTCCGACTGACTGCGATGCGGGTGCGGTGCCAGCTTGGCTCCAGACAAACCCTGTCCAAATCGCGGCGCACTCGGCTTCGCATGTCTGACCTTGTATACGGTTCCGTAGTTGCCCTTTCCGAGCTCGTCTATAATTTCCACCTCGTCAAGGGATATGCTAAAGGTCTGGCCATTGGAGAAGTTGACTCCGGTCCGAGTAATCGTAGCAGCACCATCAAAAGTAATCCAACCCTTCTCCGTATCAATGTACTTCTTGAAGTCGTCTAGCTGGGATCCCAGAGAGGGCTTGCCGTTGGTAGCGCTAGGCGCACCGTTTCCAGGCATCCCGGCGGAGAAAGAGGGAGCACCGGCCCGGCGCAGTCCACCCGTAGGCATGGGGCTGCCGCTGCCGCCTATATCAGAGAGCTTCATTCCCATACCCATATTGGCTCTCCTCTCGCTAAGGGAGGGCTTTGGTAGGACAGGTGCCGATCTGGGGTGCGGCACCGCACCGGGACGCTGCATAGTCGGGGGCATGCGGAGGTTAGGGAAGCCGGGCGCCACAGGGCCTCCGGGCGAGGGCATCGGTGAGACAGGCGAGCTGCCCGCCGCTGCCATGCCCTTTTGCATTCGCTGCTGATGAAGGGCTCGCGCCTTGGCCATGACACTGTTGTCCATGGCTCCGGCGCCTCCCACGAAAGATGAGGTTGCTTGCGGAGGATGCCTCGCCTTGCCCAAGATTCCTAACGTAGTCGAGTTGGGATTCATATTTCGAGGGTCGGAAATGGTGTTCAAGGATGGAAGTCGCTTGGGAGAGTCGCCAAGCTCATCGCCGTTGGGCGTGCCAGCCACCGATGAGTCTTCTGAGTATGGAGATGCCTGTAGCGAGAGCTCACGAGTGCCATCGGACACGCTGTCCGGCGTGGCCGGGACAGAGCCGGAACCGCTCATTGTGACAGTTGGAGAGATGTAGTAGCTGCGCGGCTATTGCTCAGAGCGGGAGTGATGGAGATGGAGATGGAGATGGAGACGGAGGGATGGGGGAGCCAAGAATCTCCCAGTATTCAAAAGTAGTAACCATATACCAAGGTTGCTATGCTCGATCGAAGGTGATGGTGTCGCAAAGGGCAAGGGCCGCCAGCGACCCTGGCAAGAGGGATGAGGACGACGAGGTTTTTGCGGTGGGCGTCGACGAAGCGGGTGGCCCGAGGTGGAGGTTTTGAAGCTCGACCAAGGTGGGGTTTCAGATGGAGGCAACACGATGCTTCGTCGCTGACAATCGTTTCAACGGCCGATATGCGGGAGGCGGACGGCGGACGGTTTGGTCCTGTGGGCTAACGCTCGTCGAAGGCTAGGCCAGTCTAGACTTTTGAAACCCAGCGGCTGGGCTAGAGGGAAAAAGGCTGATGCTTTATCCAGATGCTCGCTGGCCTCGGCTGTCGCTCGGTTTATACCGCTCTGTGCCTTCCTGTCACAAGTTTTTTTTTTTCTTGGTTCGTGGGGGCGATGCGGCGAGAAAGAGAGGGACGAGAGAATGACGAGAGGGCGAAGAGGAAAGGAGGAAAGAATCCGGAAATGCAGTCGGGCAAAGAAGAAGGCGAAGGCTGCAGAGGACGGTTAGCTTACTGCAGGTTTGGATTTTCGTCGGGATGCGATGGCAGCAATGCGGATTCCAGCTTCTGGATGACTGTGGATGAAACGGCGCTTGCCTTGTTTCTGCGCCCGGAGCTATCGACAACCAGCCCCAGTCCGCCAAGTGAAATGAGGCTTTGTACTCCGTGCTCCCGTTCGGCGCGGTAGTTGCGAAGAGCAAAGAAAATTTTTCTTTTCTTTCTTTTTCTTTTTGCTTCCCCAACGAAAAGAGCAGTCGTGAAGCACACCGTCTTGCGGACGATGGCACTTTTTAAACAATTTCAATCAAGGGTCGAAAGCATGAATAAGGTACATACAAGAAACAACTGCCCGAGCTTGAACTCGCCTGGGCACTACAGGTACTCGTAAAAGCACCACCTAGCAAGGTATAAACTTGTACTTGGATGAGAAATGGAAGCTGCGGCGGTGTCAGGGTATCATTCAACTCCTCGCATAGGTACAGCGCATCAGGCTAGAAGCAGGAATCAAATCTCACCTCCCTGGCCAGCAATCAGGAACGCCCGTTGGCCAATTCCCTGGACCGTCGACGGTGCCTCTGGCTATTTTTGGTCGTGTGAAGAAACCTGAACGCGCCTGGTATCGTATACTTGATCAGGCCTCGGCACCACCTTGTCCCAAGTGCTAAGCTGCAATGGGCGTCGTATGGAGTACGAAATTAGCAGCAAGCAATGCAATAGCAGAGGCAGAGCTTCCCAACTTCTGTGCGGGGTTGTCCAAGGATTGACGGGTTTGTTTTGGTGCGGAGTTTTGGAGGTGGTGCTGTAATAACGATGACGATGACGATGCAAAGGCACAGCTGCGACGTGCGTCAAATGGGCAAAATAGCGCCGAGTTAGCTGCAAGATATCGTCAGGAGGCGTCTCGGTGCCGGCACGTCATGTACAAGCAGGGCACGCTGCATGCGCCTTCAATTGGAGCGCCGGGATTGGGCGGCTGTGGCGACTTTGACTATCGTGACCTGAAAGTGGGCATCAGTGTCATGTCACCGGGTAAAAGTGCTGGAGTGGTTAAGGACCTATGGATGCCTTGAATCTTGCCGACAGGGTATTGAGAAATGGCGAATGGCCGTCTGAGAATCAATGCTGGCTGTGAATTGAAGCTGTGTGACGTGTTGCAGTGAGTTTTTTGCCCGTCAGCTTTGGGCTGGACAATGAGGGAATGTGTGTAAAACAAGAGACAAGGGGTCCAACGTTGGGTTAGCGGTAGCGGCCCGTCAGGGCAAGGCACGGCCAGGCAAAGCAAGGCAAAGCAAAGCAAATACAGGAGTGCCAGTAAAGAGCCTGGGATCAATGGAGAGTCAAGGACAGAAGAGAAGAAATCATGGAACTGAAGGGGAGATAAGGAGGTAGGCAAGATGTGATGTGGATGACTGCTATTGGCATTATATAGACTACATGTACACTCTAGCATCACTGTTTCTCACAACGACAATCAAACGCTTATTAACCAGAAACGCTCAAACTGCACGCTATTGCGCATCTTGTCAGAGCCCAGACCAGCGGCGGGAAAATCTACTCTCATCGCGGCGTGCTTAATTAACTTGACCTGCGCCTTGAGCGACGTTTGATAGGTGACTTTGAGGCCTCTTGGGTGGAATTATCTGTACCTGCTGCGCTGAAGTGGCTGCCCGGCTCCACATCAAAGGTACTTTGAGCAAGCCGATGTGTTTCGTATTTGCAGCTCACCATCTACGAAGCCGTAGCGCCTATCGCCACAGGTTGTCTAGGTATCGCCAGATGGGATGGTACCTACCACGCCCGATGATCCATATCAGACAGATCTCATGATGAAACCGCCTCTGGTCCCCGAGCCGTGCCTTTGACTATCAAGCGAACGATAGTGGCCTATCACGGCTTCGAACAATGACGGGCCAGTTCGCCTACTAGAGGGGGGCGATTTCTTTCCATTTGTTTCCCGGAGCCACCAAAAAAAGACGGAGCTACTGTGGGTGTAATGCGAAAGCCGGGTTACCCCAGGATCATTTTCCAGTGACGCCGAATAGATTCGGGCATCTCGAGCCTCGCGATTGGGCTGCTAAGATGAGGCTGGGACAGGCTCTGCATAGAGAAGCAGTAGCTGCCTGAAAAGCTGACGTCGGCATCCAATGGCGAGCGAAATCATCACTGCCCTTGCATCTTCTGTCTCTCATCTATTGCTTCTTCCCGTCTTTTCTGAGTCAATGGCAATCTCGTTCTGCGATGGCGCAAATACGCTTCTGCAGCTAAGCTTGACCTTGGTTGGCATGGGGGCAAGTAATCTGGGCGTCAGGTACCATTGAAGACAGCGTCAACCATAATTCCAGGTGCTCGGTCTGAGCATAAATGTGTACAACTTGGCCTTCAATAGTGCTGTGCTGTGCTACAGCTGATAAGCTATCGTGGAGATGCGTCTGATGGTTCGATGGTGCATCATAGCTCTGCGCTGGGGGCCTAGCTGAGGAGCGATCGGCGCTCCATTCGTTTCAAACTGCTGTGCTGCGTGCAACATCTATTGTATAATTTCCCCCTCCATCAGATTTGTCATGACGTCCTCTTTTGGTATGATGGCGATCTGGTGGATGAGGCGACTGATTGAAACAGCAATGCACGCAAGCATATCATGGTGACGACGACGGAATGCATAGCACGTCAACTATCCGGTTCCACGATGATTTACAGCTGTGAGTGTCTTGGTAGAGTATCCGGACAAAGGGAGTATACAGACATGTATCTTATACAGTCCAAGGTGGGAAATTAGGTAGGTACGAAGCAAAAATTTGGGTAGAATTATACAGGCCACTGCACCGTATGAATCTCAGTAACACAGAGGTATCGGATGCCGTGGACGGACCCTTGCCTGAAAGAGCGAGGCTTGAAAGTGCGGGTGCTCGCTGGCAATCGTTGACTGGCTGCCTCTTGATTGACGAAATGAGACAATCTCAGTTGCTGTTAGCGGCCGTCTGAAATGGAGTTGGCAGATGCTGGATTGTGCTGGATTGAAGCATCCATCACATCCGAGGTACAATTACAATTACAGTACAGCAGATCGATCATCAACTTGAAATCCGAAGGCAAACATGCCTTGCGTGTGCTTGCGTTGGCATGTCTTGCCAAGGGGGGCTGGCATCGCACAGATAAGGCCCCCAAGGCCCCTTATCTCGTCCCAAGTCCCACCAGCCTGATTACACGATTGAGTGCAATTAAATCTCCATGTAATATCAGGCTCTGCATGTAGTACTGCTTTCACAGCCACAGTAAACAAAGCCTCTTGCCGCCGTGGCTTGTTGGCTGAAGAAGCAGACAAAGGGCACAGGCGACACGTGACTCCAGCGTCTGCAGCCTCTCCGGTTTCTCAGCTTGTTTCGCACCCTTTCAATCTGCTGCTTTGATAGCCCTACGCCCCGTCACCCCCTGGCAGGCTTCTTTTGGAGGGCTCATGGGCTCAATGGGGATTTCCATTGGCTGACGGAAGCATCCCGCGCGAAGTACCTGGCAGCGCAAACACCCATTCAGAGTGACATCAGCCCGCCGGTGGCACGCCCGATGGGACCGCCAAGAGGAGTCAATGACACCAAGAGCGCTATTACTAGAGTCTTGCTAGAGGCCTGCTAGAGGCTGGCTAGAGGCCTGCTAGAGGCTGGCTAGAGGCTGGCTAGAGGCCCTACAAGCCCCGACAAGGGCCCCCAAAGGCCCAAAGAGGGTACCAACAGGCCGCTAGCCCAGAAGCTTGTTTGCCCAGCTCTTCCGCGCCTCGTCTGGCTCATGTCACTCTTGCGTGTTGCGCGACCATTCGCCTCTCTTATCTCTGAGTCGTGCTCCCAGAGAAGCGTCATACGAGTCCAGGTTAGTACTTTCTTCTCCGTTGTTTTGATGCCTGTGCGACCTGTATCTTCTTGGCCTCTTTTCTCTCTTCCCAGCCTGACGCTCAGATGGGCTCCCGCAATGCCCCATTCGCATTCACTGCAGCCCATTTAACCTGCATCCTCGCACCTCCGCGCATTCCATGGCCCCTTTGACATCTGCCTGTGACTGCTGACTGACCTGGACGAGTACTAAACTGTACCTGATCAGGCACCCTTGGACGCTGGCTGGACATCCCATTGGCCTCACCTGTCCGGCACTTGTCCCTAGCTGACGACGCTTTGAACTTTTGGTGAAGCGGCCAACCGGCACTTCCCGGTCTGAGATTTTCTTTCAACAGCCAATCTCACATCCTCTCTTTGTTTCATCTTCTTTTAAATTGTCCCTTTTCACCCCTGCTCTACCAGTTTCTGGTCCGACATCCCCATTTCGAGTTCTCTTCTTCAACGAGCAAAACAACCCACGACACTCGACGACATACGATTTATTGGAATCGCCACACGAATCGCGCCTACACTTGATGGATTCTGCCGTGGCCCTCACGCCGCCGACATCGTTTCGGTTGGCCGTGATGGCTCAGAATGCGTACGAGATGCCGCTCAAGATGTTCCAGGAGACGGCGCCATCGCATCCCTCTCTATCGCATCTCTGCTTGCTCGTCTTCGAAGCCGTCCTGGAGGTAGTCTGCGTGAGCTTGCCGGGATACATCGTCGCGCGCCTTGGTCACTTCGATGCCGATAAACAAAAATTCTTGGCCAATTTGAATGTCATGCTCTTTACGCCTTGCCTTAGTATGCTATTCTCTTCCACTTTGCGCTCTAATGTTGAATCGCAAGCTGACCGTCATTCTCTTAGTCTTCACCAAATTAGCTTCCCAACTCAACGCTGAAAAGCTGTCCGATCTCGCCATCATCCCCGCCATCTTTATCGTACAAACGCTCGTATCATGGATAGTCTCGATTCTCGTTGCCAAAGGATTCCGATTCAACAAGCGAGCCTCCAACTTTGTCACAGCCATGGGCGTCTTTGGCAACTCTAATTCGCTGCCAATCTCCCTTGTGCTCTCCTTATCGCAGACGATCAAAGGCCTCCACTGGGACAGGATACCCGGCGACAATGATGACGAAGTCGGCGCGCGCGGTATCTTATATCTTCTAATCTTCCAGCAGCTTGGTCAACTTGTCAGATGGAGCTGGGGATATCACGTTCTGTTAGCCACCAAAGACAAGTACCCGGAATATCAGGACGATTTAGTCGAGGAGGGTCAATACAGATACAGCGACGAAGAACCAAGCGAACAGGAGCCCGAGATCCTCATCGGTGGCCTGGATGGTGATACTGAAGATGACGGCGAGAGCAATGATTCCGAAGATTACATACCTGCTGGACGAACGCCTCTTGCAAACACCTCTCGGGCCTCGCTAGCTGGCTCTGCAGTTGACGATGCCGACTTGCTGAATTTCAAGAAGGGCAACTTTCCTGCGAATGTACATGTGCTTGCTAAAAATGGTCTGGAGGATGACATTCTTTCATTTCCCCGGATCCGCCTTCAAGACGAGACTGAAGTCGAGCAAGGCGCTGTTGGCCGTGTCAAGAGACAGTTGACTTCTTTCAGTGACCGTGCAGTTGGTGCCACGGCCCGCCAGTATCAGCGGCTCCCTCAGCCTGTACAAACCATCCTCTCCTTCAGCTTTAAGTCACTCGCCAAGGCGGTCAACTTCGCTTGGGAGTTCATGAACCCCCCTCTGTGGGCTATGCTCTGCGCTGTCATCGTTGCGTCTGTCCCGAAGCTTCAGCAATTGTTTTTCGAGGAGGGTTCATTTGTCAAGAACAGTGTCACCAACGCGGTCCAATCTAGTGGAGGCGTCGCAGTGCCTTTGATCTTGGTTGTTCTCGGCGCCAACCTGGCTCGCAACACTGCCGCTCACGAATTCCCCCTCGACCCTGAGGAGGAAAAGATTGGAACCAAGCTCTTGATCGCCTCGCTATTGAGCAGAATGTTTTTGCCAACACTAATCATGGTGCCCATCTTGGCCCTCACTGCAAAGTACCTGCCTATCAGCATTCTTGATGACCCCATCTTCATCATCGTGTGCTTCCTGCTCACTGGTGCGCCTAGCGCGCTCCAACTTGCGCAAATCTGCCAAATCAACAATGTGTATGAGAAGACTATGGGTAGAATCCTGTTTCAGAGCTATGTCATTTGGTAAGCCTTTCAAAACATTGATAGATGACTCTTTACACCGCTACTGTTTACTAACAAGGATACTAGGATTCTTCCCTCCACCCTCTTTCTTGTCATGATGGCTCTCGAGGTTATCGAGTGGGCCAAGGTGTATTAGTATCACTTCCACATCAGTGGATTCTTATGATGAACGAGTCTGGTTTTCTTTGTTTCTATTTCTTTGCTGCTTTTGATGGAATACATACATCGCTTGGCGTTGACGGGATGGACTGCTTTGTTGGAAGCGACATTTTAACTTGGCATATATAGATAGGCATGGATTACAACAAGGGATGTGCAGACACCAAATTGTATGAGTAGGGTAGGACGTCGTGGATTCTCTTGCTTTTTCGCTTTTACGCTCGTTGGCGGCTTTGATAGGAGCAAGCTGGCTGATGACTAGCTTTGGAATGATACCCTTTGTACATTGCTATGCAAAGGAATCGTATTTGAAAATATGATTTAATTGTCGCATTAATCGACATTCTGTGCTGTGACAAATACCTTTTGTATATGAAATATCATCGCTTTGTTTGTGGCACTCTACTTGTTGACAATGAGCAAAAGCGAATGAAGATATGAGGTAAATATGAGCAAGCGTGCTATGCAGCCGACTACTTTTCACAGACGCATCGAGTTCACCAGCTTTCTTCTTTTCTTCTTTTTCCTCTTTTTAAAACTCTTGACTATTTGCGTCATATCCGTTCCCAATGCCCAAACTACGCCTCAAAATATGAATGATATAATTACAGCCCCTATGCAAATACTACTACAGCAAGGTGAGGTCCTCATCAAGCACCGCCATTGAGCAACGGAGCATCCGAAACCAGCTCCCAATCCCTCACAGTTCCCTTCCAATCACTAATCCTCACATTCTGAATATCGACCACAATGACGCGCACCTCCTCGCCGGCCACAAAGTGCCCTCCGGCGCGGTCCCCCTCGCGACTACTGTCGGTATTCGTCGCCGGCTGGAACAGCGGCACGCCCTCTTCAAAGGTGTTGTTCTCGAGATGCTGCTCGACGTAGAACTTCTCTTCGGCAGAGCCAATGGGGGCTATCCGCGCGGCGCCTCCTATCGTCGCGCTGATGCTGGACATTGCGGATGTGTTGAGGTTGAGGAGCAGGGCGGCGAGGCTGGAGCGGGTTTCGGGGCCGGGGGATCCGCCGGAGAGACGGCGGCCTTGGGTTGGAGGACGGTGAGAGACCCCTGGGATTGTCAGTAATGGATGAAGATTTGATAGCAGGGGAACTCGCTTACAATCGTGGACAAGGAGAGAGACGTTTGGGTTCGTGACGATGTTGGTCGTCTTGCGAGAGGCGGGATTGGTGGTCATGATGATGACGGGAGAGGCCGAGTAGGGCGAGGAGGGGAGGTAGGTGTAGTTCATGAGGGACACGTTGGGCACGTTATCCGTACATGTCGCCAGGTGAAGCTATTCGCATCCGGTCAGCGCTGAATCTCTGGTGTTTTACAAGCAACGTTCGCCAGCATCAAACGTACGAATCGAGCATTTTCGAGACATTGCACCACCTCGATGGGCAGCGTGCTCGTCTGGCGCTTGTGCGTATCGCCCTCGGACGCCTCGTAGTTGAGCGGGATCTTGTCCATGGCGGCGATGCTGTAATCGTGGATTGAGCCGAGAGATACAGCCGTTTCCTCTCGTGACGTTCTGGGAAAGCTGTTGGTAAGGCCCGATCAGCCGATGCCCTCCAAGCTAAAAGAAGTTCCGGCAGTGGGGGAGGGGGAAAGAAGACAAACGGAAGATCTCGCTTACTCCATACAAGAGCTGAAAGATACTTCTTTTCGTATGGAGCATCTCCGCGAATTTCAAGTACCTGGATTACCTAACCCCCAGCGTTCAAAACGGGCCAAAACGGCATGACGTCGTGGGGAAACTGCTCGGACCGTCTGCTGGCAAGCAATTCAGCAATTATTAGCAACCGCGGCTACTTGCGGCATGCGGCGCTCGGCTCTATCCATCAACTACCCGGTTGAGCCTCGACAAGGCGGCCGTTCGTCGAACAAACCCTTGGCTTGATTAATTCCTCCTTCAGCGTCTCAAATTTCTCGACTCCTGCATCTTCTCCTCCTGTCCATTCTCGCCAGCTGCAGCCTGTCCGTTCCGCCATGCGTTCTCTCCGCGCCAATCGCCTCTCTCTGAGGCCTGTGCCTCGATTCCTCTCCACGTCTTCAGCTTCATCTACCCTCCCCAAGCCCGCGGCGCTGAGCTCCGTGCTCATTGCCAACAGAGGCGAGATCGCAATCCGAATCAACAAGACCGCGGAGCGCATGGGCATCAAGGCCACCACCGTATACACAGACGTCGACGCCAACTCGTGGCACGCCTCGTCCGGCTTCCAGTCCTTTGGCCTGGGCCCGGCAAACGGCTACCTGGACGGCGAGAAGATCATCGCCCTGGCCAAGAAGCACGGCATCCAGGCGCTACACCCGGGCTATGGCTTCTTGTCCGAGAACTACAAGTTCGTCGAGCGGTGCGAGGAGGAGGGAATCGTCTTTGTCGGCCCGCCTGCCACCGCAATGGCTGACATGGGCAACAAGGCGCGAAGCAAGGAGATTATGAATGCGGCCAACGTGCCTTGCGTTCCTGGATACCACGGCTCCGAGCAGGGCGAAGCTGAATTGCTAGCATACGCCAAGGAGATCACCTTCCCCGTCCTGCTCAAGAGTGTGCGAGGCGGAGGTGGCAAGGGCATGCGAATCGTCATGAAGGAGGATGAGTTCCTCACCCAGCTCAAGAGCGCCAGAGCCGAGGCCAAGGCTTCCTTTGGAGATGGCGGAGAGGTCATGCTCGTCGAGAAGTACATTGTCCGCCCGCGACACGTCGAAGTCCAGGTCTTCGCCGACAAGCACGGCAACACCGTCGCCCTTGGTGAGCGAGACTGCAGTGTCCAGCGACGACACCAAAAGGTTCTCGAAGAGTCTCCCGCGCCTGATCTCGATGAGGTCACCAGACAAGATCTCTGGGACAAGGCAAGGAAGGCCGCCGAGGCCGTGGGCTACGTCGGTGCCGGAACAGTCGAATTCATCCTCGACAAGGACAGCGGCAAGTTCTACTTCATGGAGATGAACACGCGGTTGCAGGTCGAGCATCCCGTCACTGAGATGGTCACCGGCCTGGACCTTGTCGAGTGGCAGTTCCGCATCGCCGCCGGCGAGAAGCTGCCCCTGACCCAGGCCGAGGTCGAGGAGCAGATGAATCAGCGAGGCGCCGCTATTGAGGCCCGTATCTACGCTGAGAACCCCGAGAAGGGCTTCATGCCCGATTCAGGCAAGCTCGTCCACGCCGTCCTTCTGGATGCTGCCAAGAACGATCCCGATATCCGTCTCGACTGGGGCTTCGGCTCCGGCAGCGTCGTCTCCGAGGCGTACGACGGCATGATTGCCAAGCTCATCGTCCGAGGCGACGACCGCGAGACGGCCATTGCCAAGCTCGCCTCCGCCCTGCGCAACTTTGAAATCGTCGGTCTGAGCACAAACGTCGAGTTCCTCAAGAGAATGTGCGAGTCCGAGGCGTTCATTGCCGGCGACGTCGAGACCGGCTTCATAGACAAGTGGAGAGAGGAGCTCTTCAAGCCCAGACGCATCAACAACGAGGTCTTCGCCCAGGCTGCCCTCGGCGTCCTGAGCAACCAGCTGCAGAACATCGGCTCCAGCCCGCACGGCCAGTCGCTCGGCTTCGGCAACACAAACTCGACCAGCGAGCGCAAGCTCGCCTTCAAGGTCCTCGACGGCTACAGCGAGAAGGAGGGCGAGATCGTCGAGGCCGCCGTCTCGCAGACCGGCCACAACCTCTACAGCGTCACCATCTCCCGCAAGGGCGAGGAGCCCCAGCTCTTTAGCAACATCATCAGCGAGCCTACCATTGAGGGCGAGGTGACCAAGCTCAAGTCCCGGTTCCCCGCCGAGAGGATCGAGTCCACCGTCGTTCCCCAGGAGAACGGCACAGAGACCAAGCTGGCTATCTTCCAGCACGGACTCAAGACGGATTTGGCCCTGCTGCCGCCGTCGTGGTATGAGAAGGCACTGGGTCTGAAGGAGCTGACTGCCTCTGTGGCAGCACCGATGCCGTGCAAGATCTTGAAGAATGAGGTCACTGAGGGACAGACTGTGAAGAAGGGCGAACCGCTTGTTGTGTAAGTTGGATGTTCTACCATCATCACTTTGACAATATCACTAACAAGAGCTGTATAGCATCGAATCCATGAAGATGGAAACAGTCATTCGATCGCCGCAGGACGGTGTCATCAAGAAGCTCGCTCACAAAGAAGGAGTAAGTCCATACCAAAAAAAAAAAAAAAAAAAAAAAAAAAAAAAAAAACTCTACATCATTCCACGAGTCCTTGTTTAGCTAACACATTTCTCCACCTTAGGATATCTGCAAAGCCGGAACCGTTCTTGTCTTGTTTGAAGAAGACGCTAGCAAAGAGGAATCATCATAAATGGGATATACGATACGAAGGGGCGTTTTACGGTGGTCATGAATCTTATGTATATTTGTTTCATTTTTTGGCGATATATTTCCATCTGTTGGATCAGTGGCATTGTAGTGTCATTGAAGCGAGAATTAAGAAAGAAAAAAGTCATCCTACTTCTCTTCGTTTTCATGCTCTTCATGCTCTGCTGTGGTGTAATACCAATGTCCTGTAGTCTGTGATATTTTTCCTGACTTTTCTCTGGAAACGCCAACCGTTTTCAAGTAATTCATTGACTTAAAAAGAAACCCAAACCAAACTCCTCATAGAGAATATCGTCGTAACATCATGATCGCATAACCAGTCCTCGTCAACCTAACCGTGCAAGCTGTCTGACAACCCACAGCGAGTAGTAATCATCCTTTTGAAACAAAGCCGGCTCCGATATCCGTCATCGAAATGTAGCAAAGCAGTCGAGACTACCAAAAAAATCACTCATAAAATGCTGTATCATTTTGTCTGCATTTCTGTATATGTGGCAGGCAAATGTCTGCTCATCCGCGACTGCTTAGCCGCTTCTCGGATGCGCTTCCACCAGTCCTTGACGCGCCGCGGCCAGCTGGGATCCGTAGGCGGGACGTAGGAACAGAAATTGTTGAGAAGATCCTGTGTCGAAGGGTATCAATAAGCGAGATGACTCTTCCAGATTGGATGGGGTTTCTTTTTTCCCCCTCTCCCCTTTCACCACCGTGATATTTCCATCATTACCTGCATTCGCGGGTCGGTGCAAAATAATAAGAAATCGCCAAAAAGGGGGCCAAAGCTTACCTCTTCTTTCGCCAAAGTGATGAACCCTAGCACAAAGGCTACCCACGCCAGTGTCCCCTTGGTGTTGAGAAATTGGTTGCCGCCTCGAAATTCTATCGTCCCTGTACACCGCCGCCTCCTGCGGTGCGGATAGATGTTTTGGAAATTCCATAGAACATATCGGTTGCCTTGCATGTAGTGGCATAAATCTGCCTTTGTGCTCTGTGATCGAATCTCAGCAGCCACCTTGCGCAGCGTGCCGACACTCTTCCCCCAGCCCAGCGTCTTGTTCAGCCCGGAATCGAGACTCTGGCTGTTGAGACGACAGTAGTGATTGTCGCGGCGGGTGGTGGGCAAGATTTCTGCAACGTAGTCCTCGTAAACGACAGTCGCAAATGCAATCTTCTTGAGTGTCCTGAGCGAGAACTTGTTTTTGAGGTTGACAGGCGTGACATGAACATGCCCACCACATGAGACGTCTTCCTGAGGCTTAAAGTGTACGCGCATGGCCTCCCAAAAGTCGGATATGATAGGGCTCACCCCCCGCATGGTATCAAGCTTTGGGGATACAACCTCCATGCACACTTTTCCGGTTTGCATCTGCGTCAGCGCATATTTCTCATGTGCGTGCATGATAAGATACATGAAGCACATGTACATGAATATCCCATCTTGCAGCAAGCTGGGTGAAAGTCGGAATTACCAACCATATGGCCGTGGTCGCTTCAGCGACCCGTCGCGTGTGACGAACCATTTTCCTCCATAATACTCGGGGTGTTTGCTATACTTGGAGCAATCGTCGTGGACCGCCTGTATGCCCCTGTTGCGTAGTTTTTGCGCCAGTTGTCGATACCAGTCCACGTTGGTGAAGCTGTCACAATTTCCATATGGCCTGGTCACAGCCTCAATCTCTACACCGAAATTGTAGTGCCTAATGCCATGGGGCATCTTCACCAGGCTGATGGTGACCTTAGCCGTTAAGGCGGATTCGAACCCAAAAACCGGAAAAGATGAGGCTGAAGCTGCACTTACAGCCTGAGCAAAACAACCACAGGTCCACCAAACAAGTACGTACAGGCCTAATTTGCGAGAGGTTGGGTTGAGAAGATAAAGCGAGGGGAAAACTTGGTTGCCAGACGGCCCTAATTGAGGCCGTTGATATCTGATTCCAAGGCCATGCTTTCTAACTCGCCGGCCACGTCTTGGCTCTTCCCGTGGTTCTAGACACAATTTACCACGCTTGTGCGGATAATTGGTCAATTGGTTTCGACGGGATGCACATGCTCACATGACATCGTCGATGTCTTCTCAACTTCTTATTTTGTGCGACGCATAGCAACGCAGCGCTCTTTGAGCCTGTGCTTTTGTACACAGTATTACACGTATTCGTGCAAGAACAGCAGGGATCAAAGCCATGGGGCGGCATGGCCAGCAAAACTCAAGCCGCCCAGCCACCGTTGCGTTGTCAAACACCATCTTTACCCCTACCTCCTGGGACTCCTTTTGTGAATGCTGTCTGTGCCTATACTGCCCTTCAGGCGGAATCCACAGGCGAACAGCGGTCCCCTATAATACGGTGGCCCTCGGTGGATGAGGTGGTGTGGAACATAGCAGCTAGGGATCGCGCTGTATGCTCCGAGGCCGGGCATGTCCGTGGCTCTCTTTTCGAACAAATCGCAAAACAAAAAAGAGGCGTCCGTATTTGTGAGCTCATGGCCACGATGGGGGGCTCCCAGTCTCTCCAGTTCAAGACGTGGTGAAGTCCAATTGGTGCCTGTAATCCCATGTCCTGCAGGGCCATCGTCATTCTGTCCTTTGCTGCCCAACCCGTGGCACCGCATCAGAGATCCACAGTAAGAGGTAGCCACACTTCAACGGAGCATCCTGGCTGGCTGCCGAGAAATCAATGAATCCTCGTGCCATGACGTACTTCCGCCTCGCAGTAAACATCACTGGCAATAGTTAGCAATATGTAAGACCGCGGTATTGTGCGTAAAATGTGAGCAGACAGTTCAAGCCTTCTCCGCACTCAAGCCAACCCATAGACCTTGGTCTCAGAAGCACAACAGCTCTCGACGTTTGGGTCACCCCGCCCATTTCCTAATTCGACCATGGAGGCCATTCGCAGCCAATCAGTGGGGAGGAAGCAGTCCAGAGTGCCGACCCAGAAAGCAGCGTCAGCGTTGTCTCTAGACCGCCGGCCAACCAAGTTATACTTTGCTTATGGGAGTAACTTGCATATCAAGCAGATGAACCGTCGTTGCCCCAATAGCAGGTTCATTGGGACCGCTCGTCTCTGCAACTATCGATGGCAGATCAACGAGCGTGGATACGCCAACGTCACCCAAGCAGAGGGACATTGGGTGGATGGACTTGTGTACGAGATTGATGACACTGACGAAGCCAAACTCGATATAAATGAAGGCGTTGCGAAAAATGCATACAACAAGCGATACATGACAGTCTTGCTCCATCGAGCACAGAGTACCTTGTATCGCCGTCCCGTCGCCTGGATTGTGGAAAAGGGCGGGCCCGCGGCGGTGGGCAGACAGGCCAAGCTTGTAGCCCAGGGGCGGAGAGAGAGCTCGTTGTCGCACTGGCAAGACGACGTTCTCATATATGTCAATCCAAACTGCACTATTGACAGTAATCCCAGAGAGGAATACGTCAATCGGATCAATCTGGGTATTGCAGATGCCAGGGCCCTAGGCGTCGACGAGGACTACATCCGGAACTGCATCCGCCCCTTTATCCCGGAGACCACAGAAAGGCCTTCCTCGGGCCCGACAGCCGGGACCCCCAAGCTCAGAGTGCTAGCAGTCACCCGGGGTAGAAGCGGCGCGAACTCACCCGCGCGGTCTGATGGCCGCTCTCCGGCGCGCAAAGAGCGATCGGTGAGCCGATCGAAGCAGCATTTCGAGCGGCGATCTCAATCCTGGCAACCCCCTAAGAAGGAAAACGACCAGAAAAAAGACCAGGCGGCAAAGTCAAAGGTGCCACCCCTGCCCCCGCGACCACAGTCAAATCAACCCCATGACATTCCCATCGTGGCTGTACAGGAAGTACATCTTTCGAGCTGGGGCTGGTGGCCGGCATTTTCATGAGAAATGTTAGAAGGGACCCTAAAGGCTGTGAAAACCAGATGCGGTGAGGAAAGTGTTGTAGCTTGAGATCCATTGCGATGTAAGTGTCTAATTGCTGTGAAATCTATTTTTCGTCCGTCATTGCTTTTTCGGCCAGTCCTGCTGACGCTTTCTATACGATTTTAAGATTATCATAAAGATATCCAAGTTTTTTTTGTTCCGTTTTTATTCTTTATTTTTTTCCCTTTGATCAGCTCCACCCGCCATCAAGGCGCATTCTGGAAGACCCTGGGGTCATAAATCAGAGCTTTGAGCGATGCCGCCTCAAGATCAGGGTCTTACTTTTGGGTGATCCATTTCGCGATGGACCGTGAGATCGTGCTTTCGATCCGTTCGCATAATCCCATAATAGTCTAGTCAGTGTCATAGCCTTTTGTGGAATATCGCCATCTTTTTCTCCTCCGTAAACCAATACCGTGGGTCTGCAAATAATTTTTGCTGCCGATTTCTTCGCCCCTCCAACTGTCTCAACAAAGAGACCGGGGGCCACATCGAACAGATATGAGGCATTCTTTAGAGCGTCGGACGGTTTGCCGGCATCACCCGAGCTGAGAACCGCACCGTCGTTGGCAAGATTGATACATTCATAAGTGTCCAACTTTGTTCTTGCGGTTCGCGCAGGCCACCTGAGAGTGAAAATATTCGGTGAAAGCTGAAGTCGGTGGGCAAGATCCACTGCCGGATCAATTATGTTTGTCCGAAGAGAGCTTTGCAGTTCTGCAGCGGTTAGGTATGGCACAACAACTGATATGAGAGAGGCAAGGTCTTCGGTGATAAGGTTGAGATATTGTGCTCGTCTAGACTTGAAAGAGGTCTGGCTAGTCAATGCCGTGAGCGTCTCAGCCCTCCATTCTCTGCAGTGCGAAATATCTATTTTTCAGATTTTATTAGCTACCATACTGAATAGAAATGCTTCATTAAATAGCACGTACCTCGAGGTAGCTTAGATATCGCGTTCTCTAATTCATCAATCCACGCTGCAGCAGTCTCGCCGTCACCATCATCCAAAGGGCAGTAGAAAGATTTGGCAAAGAAAACCAGCCATAGGTATTGCATTATGAGTGCTCTGAAATGATATTCATCGGAATGCCAGACATTAAGGCAGCTTGTCGCCGGTTCTCTCATCAACGATACAAATCTGGTTGACTGAGCTGGGGTTGGCTGGCAGCGGTAGTGACCACTGGCTAGATCGTCTATAACAGGCCGAATGCGATGCTCAACCCAGCGCTGAATGTTTTCGCATAGGCTTCCATAGGCTTCCCGGGCTTCAGCCTCCGTGATGTCTTTCCTCAACGAAGACGGGCGACTAGTCGGGCGCTTGGGTTCTTCGGCAGCCTTGTCCTTTTTACTAGATTGGCTTCGAACTTGCGCGAGCTGGGCCTGCGCCTCTTTCAACTCCTGCTGTAGTGACTCCAGCTGCTTTGATAGTGCCGTATTCTCCTTCTCCTGTAATTCAAGCTCTTCTTGTCGTGAATCCAGAACTTCTTCGGTGAACTGGCGCAATCTAACTTCATCTTCTAGCTTGCTCTTGTCGTCTTGCTTGCGTGATGTCTCTGGGTGGGCGGGTGCCATTATTCTTTTGGTTGTTGCTCTAGATTTGCTCTGGAAATATAAATCTCTTGGGTGCGGTATGCTTCGAGTGGTATGAAGGGAAAGAACGGAACTTGATGGGGTAGTATCGTTTTCTAGAAGTTTATGGAGCAAGTGGCGGGAAGACCATCGATTTGATCACGCCCATTATTCCCGTTGACGGTGCGTAATGGGTTCCTTTTGGCCAATACCTTGATCCTGGCGCATTGAATTGGCGGCTCGGCAGAAGCGTAAATGACTCCATACAGGCTCAGTTGACTCGGGTTACCAGACAATGAACTGTCGGTGCGTAGCCTGACCATGTCATCTTGGTGGATCTTCCCCCTTACCGGCTGGATGGCGGCTGGATGGCATCTTCATGCCCGACGCAGGCATCCGTTGGGCTCCACCACATACCCGTTGATGGGGTTTTTAGGGATCGGCTGTGTGCATGCAGGTCCGGGGTGCCTTGTCTGTAAAAGCGCGCGTTTATGCTCCAAGGCTGGCATTTCAATACCAGACCAATGATTATTTGTACAACTGTTTCTGAAGCTCAATCAGTCTGCATAAGAATCCTGAGCTGGTCCATTTTGAATCCTAATATCTGGCGGAGCCCCAGCAAGGTTACCTAAAGCATCCCATTGGCACCATCGGGAACTGAACGGCAGCCCCAATCCATGACATGCCTAGATAGAGACAATGACTCTCTGCTAAGCCAGCGTATAGCGCATCCGACTATCCAAACCTGGATAATCTGCGAGCCCTCCAACCACTTGCAGGGAAGTTTTTGGTGTCACCTATACTTTGGTCCAAGGATTTCCCATAGCAGGCATCTTTTTTCTGGAAGCTGAAAAGCCTGAGCATGGGCGAAGAGAAAAGAATTGTCGTGTCAATTGACTTTGGAACCACTTTTTCAGGCGTCGCTTGGGCAGAGACGACTCAAGTAAGTCCAGAAGCAGAAGCACGCAAATATTTTACGCCGCGCTAAAGCCTCCAAGCCGGATGTTCAGCATGTGTTATCCGACTGGCCATCTGTTGGTTCGTCCCAAAATAGTCCCAAAGTTCCGACAGAGCTGCGGAAAATAGCAACAGGGTGGCAATGGGGTTTCCAGATCCCGAAAGCGGCAAAGAGAAGTCGATTCTTCAAGTTGTGAGTTGGAGGTCGTGATAATCATTGGCGACATTGGGCTAATTCCATGACTTGAAGAAGGTTGGATGAACCGTCGGATACAAAGACTGATGGAGAATCGGCTCAAGAACTAACAAGGATATATCTATCATGCCTCTACGCACATTTCATCAGCGTCTTAGAGGGCCAGATGTCCCCCAGTGTAGTGCAATCGATTCCAATGGACGTTGTTGTTACCGTTCCAGCTATTTGGTCGAATAATGCAAAGCAGGAAACGGAAAATGCAGCATCATTAGCTGGCTTTGGTGGAGAAAAGAAGATTAAGCTTATATCGGAGCCTGTTGGTGTTAATCAAGACTTGCAAATCAAGTATGACGCTAACGGTATGCAGGAAGCGGCCGCCTTATACACTGTCAAATACCTGAGCCCTTCTGTTCTGCAGACCGGCCGAAGATTTTTGGTTTGCGACGCAGGAGGGGGAACAGTCGATCTTATCACGTATGAGGTTGCCAAGGTTCAGCCTCTACAGATGATAGAAGTCACAGAAGGCACTGGAGGGAAATGTGGGTCTTCGATGCTCAACATGAGGTTTCGACGATATTTGAAGCAGGCACACGGAGATAAATATTGGACGGATGAGCGACTTGTCATTGCCTTGAGCGATTTTGAATCGGTACGTATATTTTCGAGCGCTTTTCCGAGCATACGTTAGTCTGACCATAACCAGTTTAAGAAGGATTTTTCCCCAAGAGGTGAACCACTTACACTGAAAGTCGATCCATCTCTTGGCCTGAGACGAAACCGATTCACAATACCACAAGACGACATGACAATCAAGATATGGGACCCTATTATGAAGGACATAATTTGCTTGATCAATGAGCAGATATCAATGGCCGATGACGAAGTTGCTGCAGTTGTCCTTGTTGGTGGGTTTGGCCAAAATAGATATTTGAAAGCCCGTGTCCGTGAAGCCATCATCCCCGGAGTGCGGGTTCTTCAGCCGGAAAATGGTGTCACTGCGGTAGTGAAAGGGGCTGTTATATATGGTCTTGGGAACTATCAGCCCGCGATGGCCCCTGTAGGTATTGCATCTCGAGTCGCCAGACGATCGTACGGCACCTGCCTATTGGCAAGATATGATCCGTCGAAGCATGACCGGAACGAAGCGTAAGCAAGCGATTTCAGCAGATGTGTGTATTAGTTAACCATATGAGCAGGTTTTGGTCCGACAAAGAAGGAGAATGGGTCGTCATCGAAATGTGTTGGTTCATCCGCAAGGTATGTCGAAAGAAGAACAAATGACGATTGTTTAGTAACGAAGGTTAGGGCCAATCGTATCCTGAGGGTAAGCCTTCTAAGATCGAGTATCAGTGCGATATACCCGTTTTTATGGGACATAAACCACAGGCGGACATCGAAATCTTCAGCAATGATGATGAGCGTGATGCGCCAATACACATCACTGGCACTACCAAGCGGGTAGCCACGCTGTTTCTCGATCTGCATAAAATACCCAAATCAGCAAAGACAGCTGCGAAGAAGAAGAAAATGGGGTGGCATCGATATTATTGTCTGACTGGGGTAATTGAAGCAAGCTATGGGTCAGCAATGATAACTTACACAGTGAAGCTTGGAGGTCCGCTTGCCCAACTGTCTCCCTCGACAACTGACCTGAACATGACATTAATCTAACATTACCACAGGTGTAACACACGACGTTATCAAGGTTCGGTATGAGTAATCTAGATTGCTGTACAGCCCCGAGCTTCTGCATTCCGTGATCATCATCAGAATTGCTGGCTATTCGGTAAACGCTGCACGCAAGGAGAGTTTCTATTTTTCACAAGGCGGCTTTGCTCTTTTGGTTGGTGTAATAGCTCTGTTATTCCTAGCTGGAAATCGAACGAGGATTCCTGAAGCAGATGAAATCCCCGATGCTCTCATGCTGATGTAGTTGATCTTTTCTTCGTTCATGGTAAATAGTAAATTCTCGGGTAGGTGCCTACCTGCAACTTATAAGGGTTCAGGCAGGCGAAAGTGCATCACGTGATATCGCGTTCTGCCCCTCTTCGTGGTCGCGTCTCCAAGATAATCCAACATTTGTTCATCTACGCCATATCGCGGCATACGTCGCTTTCGGTGTCGGTAGCTAATGACCCGATATACAGATTGCCACTGTGCTTCTCGAGCGCGTGGACATGGCTGCCGACACGGGCGGAGGTGGTCCACCGCCATCTACTCTGGCCGCACAGCTGGTGGAAAGCATTGCAGCGTCGACGAAAGTCTCCCGAACCGATGAGAATAGTGAACTCAAGGGGCTTTTGGCCACTATCCAGCGCGTAAAGGATAATCCAGACCTCCTAAAGTCACCGGATGATCGAATTGAGCACAATCATATGCTTATCTATGTATACTGCCGAGTGGTGCTCGAAAACATCAAGCTCGACGACCCATTTCTTGACCGAGCGAATGTACGAACCGAGTCTCAAAAGGCCATCAATTTCTTGAGATTTACAATCAAAGAAACGCCATCAGTGTTGCTACATCAGAATGAAAATCGTGGACTTCTCTTCCGTGGCCAAGAACCTCTGTGGGTTTGGCTTTTGCCACAGCTGCTGAGACTCTTGGGGCACCCTCAGTGCCTTGAGCTGGATAGCTCCATTGAAGGATTTCTGCAGTATATCCTCCTTCTAGTTGCACGAACTGGGAGTTTGTGGAAATTGGCTCCGTTTTTGGGCCTGTATCTTCGTGCATCGTTAACATGTATGTCATTCCATTGCTGCTCTAGGCGGGGGCTAATGAGTACCAAATCGATGTAGCTCTCCTCGATCACCTTCAAAGCCCATCTCTCGTCCCTTCGCATACGGATCTTCGCACGAATCTAGAACTTCCTCCATCCTTTGCCCTTGATCAAATTTTGGTCGAAGATCGAGAGGCCACGACTAAACGCCTATCATACTCGATTTATACCGTACGACAGGGATTGCATCTGGCATCAAGCCTGGCGAGAGTGCTTGCATACCCCCTAACATCGCCTGATTCGGCATTTTCAAGCAGCGTGTCGCTGTTGGAGAATGGGCCATGGCTTATAGATTCATATCTGGATTTGCGTCATATCCAGAAGCGATGGGAGCTACCATCCCAAAGCACCCCTCTTCCACTTGCCGAATTGATTATGGAAATTGTCAAATCCTCGATTACTAGTGACCACCCTAATTCCTCACTCATTGAAAAATCGTGTGCTCTCCTCATTCTGCTCTGCAGCGAAATGATTTCACCCCCTGACGAGCTGGTTCAACCAACTCCTGCTGGCGACCAGGCGAGGTCAATCTACTGCATGGCTCTTATAAGCATTGCTCAAGTATCTTTAAAGTCCTACTCGATAGGCCGCTTCGCAGCGTCGAAACTTGTTCAGGAACTCGTTTTATTGTCATCGCAATATTCGACTATTGGAGAGGATACAGATATTTGGGTAAGTGATGTACACTTGATATGAAGATTGCTTTCCGTACTAATAAGCCTCAAGCGAAGTGTGGCATTTTTAAGACAATCAATTGGCTCTTTAGCACAGGAATCACAGGAATCCTTTCAAGATAGCATACACCCGTCGAGGTTTCAAGATGCCGAGCTTCGAAAGTGCATCCAGGATCTGCATCTGAACTATGATGCCCCTAACCATGCAACAAACGCGAAGAAAAAGCGGAAGCTTTCAGAAGAGTCAACAGACTTTCTGACGATTTTAACGCATGGTATATTTGAAACACTTCAAGTTCCCCCGCCATCAGACGACGACGTGGTGTTGCTTGAGCAGATCTTCCTGTAAGTCTTCTATGCCGCCATTGCATTACTTGATCTGATGCATGAACAGGGATGGGTATGAGAAATGCAACCAGTCAAGCCAGTCTCTGGCTCTGGATCTTTTATCTCGGATATGTTGTGTGGTTGATAATAATACACGGATGAGGGGCTCGTTAGATTCTAGTTCAGCTCCTATAACGTGCCCTATCTGTGACGAGAGGTCTTCTAGCCTGCCGACGATTTCGTCTCACAATGCGAAAGGCGAAGCCAGACAAATATTCTCCAAAGTCATTCGCCTACCGTCATTCTCGGAATCCAGACGGCCACGAATAGCCGCTATGATTGCTCTCCGAAGGCTTATATTGCACTGCGAGGATGCATCCTTTCTGAATCTGGAGACCTCTGGCCCGGGACAGTGGTGTCTGCAATCGCTAAACAGTTCTATAAGGGAGCTTCGCATCTCAGCAGGAAGAACCTTGGCACTTTTTATGCCCCAAAAGCCCACGCATAATATGGATGAAGCGTTACTTTCGCGGAATAGAATGAATTCTATTGCTCTTCTAAAGTCAGCTTCAGAAGCAGATCCACCACCGTTAATCGAAACTCGAATTTTAGCCTGGGGCCAACTTGGCAGAGTCGTGACCGAAGATGAGCTGAACTTGGTCCTGATAAAGCTCTTAGAATACCTGGGCAGCAGTAATAACATTGAATCGGCATTTGCTTTTAATGAGTTGCTAAGTCTCGCTGAGGCTCGGCGTTCCACGCCTCGTCGACTCTTCGAGCCATTCTGGAAGAGTCTTGCCTATATGGCAACCAAAGACATAGTTCAGCGCCCACAACGAAGTCGGGCCATAGCAGAACTACTACAGATATCTGTCAATGAGCTGCTTCTTCTCATCCAGTCTCATGCACTCCCATGGCTTGTCTTGGACAAACGCAAAGATGTGATTCAAAAGATTGCAGAAGCACGTCAGGAGACGGAAATCTGGCGTCCCCTTATGGACAGTCCTAATACAGCCTCGGTATTGTCGCTTCTGATGTTACAGGAGTCAGAAAATATTGAGGAGTTCGTCAAATCTAGCTTAGACGAGATATCTCCTCATTTTCATGCTCTCAGTCTTGCCGATATTGTTCAGTCAGAGCCTGTACTGACTGCTATAGAGCTATTAAAGGCAGCAGCAGACGCCGATGCGTCGCGTAAGCGCCAGGTATGTATTCTGTTCCCATAAGCATTCCGCTTATGACTGGTATTAACGATATTTAGATACAAAAAGCTTTAGCCATGATGGCATCTATGACTATGGGATCTGTCAAAGAGACAAGAAATAAGAAGGCAGATTTAGTGGGCCGATTCCTACAGTCGCACATCCTCGGGCTTATGGCTCGATTTACAGATGTTATAAATGATTCAATTTCGATTTATCCCCAGGTGATGGAGCAAAGAAACTACATTCGTACGCTGGAGGAAATGATTCGAATTTGCCAAACATATGCAAGAATTGCCCGTCCTCAGGTACGTCACAACTAAACGGGTGAGTCATGACAAATTCACTGACTACAGGTATAGATATCTGCCTGTCTCTTATCTGCTGCGTCTCAAGATTCGCTGCGCGAGCCGGCGATTTCATGCTGGGCAGCAATGCTCAAATACTTTGACGAGGAAGACGTTGAGGCTTTACTTGAGGCTACTTTTTTCATCGTGAAGCGCTACTGGTCCGAACTAAAGGCCGCGGCGATGGCCATAATAAGAGACATGCTTGATAATCTGCTAGGGAAATATGAGCATGTTGTGAAAAAGCACATTACGAAGCTTCCATCGCTATCGCATGTTGAAGCTCTAAATGATATCGAAGCTAAGCTTAAAGCTTTTCGACCGCCTCTTGCCCTTGAAGAAACTTTGGGGGTGTTTTCACGCAGAATTGGCCACGACTATTCCGGCGTTGTCCACCAAGCGTTAATTGACCTGGTACCATATTTGCGAGATAATCAAAGTTCTCTCTATACCTCTGCTATCAGTCAACGACCAGACAGCATGATTGCCACACTACTACGGGCTCTCTTAGACTGCGCGTGCAAATACAATGGAGTTCATATCGACATTACACGGCTCTGCGTGGAATGTGTTGGGCTTATTGGCTGTTTGGACTCGAACCGAACCGAAGCAGTCCGGGAGCAACGGTCTATTGTGGTGTTGGATAATTTTGAAGTGATGGAAGAAGCCACTGATTTCGTACTCTTCTTGCTTCAGGAGGTGCTGGTGCCATCGTTTTTATCTACTACCGACATGAAGCTTCAGGGGTTTCTATCTTACGCTATGCAGGAGCTGCTTGAAAGATGCGAAATTAGGACAGCTTGTGCCAATCACGCCGCTGGAATAGGCGGCGGCGACATACATCGAAAATGGATGACACTGCCAGAATACGTGAGGGAAGTGGTTGCACCATTTCTAAACTCAAGATATATGGTGGCACCTATGAATCCCCAAGCCGTGGAGTATCCGATATTTCATCCAGGAAGACTTTATGGCAATTGGTTGCGAGCGTTCGTTGTAGATCTCCTACGAAAGGGGCAGCATCCGTACGCTGATATGATCTTTGAACCTCTAACACGAATTATCCGTGTCAAGGATTTATCTACGGCAGAGTTTTTGTTCCCTTATCTAGTGCTGCATGTCCTATTGGGACCCAGGAGCAGCCAGACAGAGAGAGATGAAATTCTCGGGGAAATTATGCAAATATTGAAATGCCAACTTTCTCCGGATGCAACCTATCAAGAAAGAGAAGACATGAAGCGATTTTGTCATGTAAGTTTGTTGTTGAAAAGGAGGTCGAGACTCCGTAAACTAACAGCTACATAGCTTGTTTTCCGGTTCCTCGACTATGCTATGAGATGGATTCACGCCAAGCGATCCGGTCGGTTAACTGGAGCTGCGAAAGAGAATGTGTCTAGAATCCAGGCCATACTGGATAGCATTCCCGCTGAGCTAATATCGCAGCGTGCAATCGACTGTAACGAGTATGCTCGAGCTCTCTTCCATCTAGAGCAACATGGACAAAAGATGGATCAGGTTAAGAGGCAGCCAGGTGATCGTGCCCGTCTTTTACAGCAACTACAAGATATATATGCCAATATCGACGAACCAGATGGACTTGAGGGTATTTCGGCCCATTTACATGTCTTGGACATTAACCAACAGATCTTGAGTCATAAGAAAGCAGGACGATGGACTGCAGCGCAGACTTGGTATGAGATGCAGCTTGCTGAAAAACCAGATAACGCAGAGGTGCAGATAGATTTGCTCAACTGCCTAAAACAAGCGGGCCAGCATGGTATGTCCCAGATGTATCTCGCCGAGAACTGCGGAAGCTAACAATAAACAGACGTTCTGCTCAACCATGTTGAAGGGTTGAGGACAGACTCACTGAGCAATGATAATAGGATCATGCCCTTTGCAATTGAAGCCGCTTGGGTTACAGGTCGCTGGGAGAGCTTGGAAAAATTCATCAACAGGTTTCAAGGCAACGTCTTGCAGGACTTCAACATGTCTTTGGGGGTTCTCTTTGAATCCCTATATAAAAGCGCTCCTACACAGACATTCAGCGAGACCGCTAAGATGATGAAAGAGAATATCGCTCTATCAATGACATCGTCAACCACCACGTCACTCCAAGCAGCACATGACATAATGTTGAAATGTCACGTTCTTACGGATTTAGAAATCATCATTGGCGCCAAGGCGGAAAGCGATGAAGATCGTATGAAGACAATGTCTCTTCTGGAAGGCCGATGCGAAATTATCGGAGCATACTTTAACGATAGACAATACGTTTTAGGTATACAAAGAGCTGCCATGCAACTCTTACGGTAAGCTTTGGCCGCTCAAGCCCACTTTCAAAGTACCGTCGCTGATATGATGAGTTTTCAGACCGACGTTCTCCGATCTCGATATTTCTGGGTTGTGGCTTGCCAGTTCTCGGCTTGCTAGGAAGACAAATTCCTTGCACCAGTCATTCAATGCAGTGCTGCATGCTTCTCAGCTTGGAGATGATGCAGCTACTATCGAGAACGCAAAGCTGCTATTTAGAGATTCTCATCACCGCAAGGCTATCCAACTTCTCCAAGGAGCCATCGAACAGAACAAATTCATGACGAAATCAGGATCATCGCTTAGTATTGGATCAGCAAGTAACCTGAATGCCCATCAGAAGCTGCTCACAGCTCGTGCACAGCTTTTGCTGGCGAAATGGCTTGATGCGGCGGGCCAGACACACGCAGGCGCGCTTCGCGAAAAATACCAGCAGCCACCCAAGACGTATTCCACATGGGAGAAGGGCCATTATTACCTTGGTCGACATTACAAGAAAATACTGGAATCCGAACAGCCGTTGAAGGTGGATGATCAAAGTGACAACTATGTCACTGGCGAGATTGCTAGGCTCGTCATTGAGAACTACGTGCGGTCTTTGAATTCGGGGACCAAATACTTGTACCAAACTCTTCCAAGAATACTCACGCTGTGGCTTGACCTCGGGGCACAGGTCGATAAGGCACCGGAGGGTAAAGTTTCGCTGTCTCGAGAACTTCACAAGCGGAGACTCGAGCAACTAGGTCTGCTGCATTCATTTCTGGACAAGTATATACATCGCCTGCCAGCCTATATATTTTACACAGCCCTGTCGCAGATTGTCGCCCGTATAGCACACCCCAACGCCAACGTCTTTGAGCGCTTGACAAACATTATTGTGAAAGTTGTGGAAGCTCATCCTCGTCAGGCCTTGTGGAGTCTACTTGGCATCATGACGACTCGACGGGATTCCGAGAGAAAAGCACGTGGTTCTCAAGTCCTCCAGACTCTCCGGAGTGTGTCCAAAAAGGTGGAAGGCGCAAATTTTGATCTCAAGTATCTAATCAGAGCGGGAGAGAAGCTAGCAGAGCAACTGTTGCTAGCTTGTCACAATGGTGACTTTCACGGTAACAAAACTGTGCATGCCAGCCTGACAAAAGACTTACGGTTCAATCAAAAGTGTACGCCGTGTCCCTTGGTGGTTCCCGTGGAGAGTTCGCTCACAGCGACTCTGCCGGCCGTCTCAGAGCACGTAAAGAAGCACAAGGCGTTTTCGCGTGACGTGGTGTCGATAGATTGCTTCTTGGACGATGTGTTGGTGTTGAGCTCTCTAGCTAAACCTCGACGCCTGACAGCACGAGGAACTGATGGGAAAACATATATGCTGCTCATCAAACCAAAGGACGACCTTCGTACAGATCAGCGACTAATGGAGTTCAATGGTATCATCAACCGATCCCTGAAAGGAGATGCTGAATCCAGCAAGAGGCAACTATATATACGGACCTACGCCGTCGTGCCACTGAACGAAGAGTGTGGCATCATCGAATGGGTACCGGGAATCAAGACGATGCGAGATATTTTGCTAAACCTCTATGCCGCACAAAAGATTCATCCAGACTACAACGCCCTTAAACAGCTGATGGAAGAAGCCTCGACGTCTGACAGCAAGGTTGGCTTATTCACAGATGACGTGCTGGGGCGCTTCCCTCCCGTGCTTCCCTTGTGGTTTACCCAACAGTTCCCCAACCCCTCGGCCTGGTTCAGTGCGCGCTTGAGATACACCCGGTCGTGCGCAGTCATGTCCATGGTCGGCACGATCCTCGGACTGGGAGATCGACATGGAGAGAATGTCAATTTGGAAGAGGGAAGCGGAGGAGTCTTTCACGTAGACTTTAACTGTTTGTTTGACAAGGGTCTCACCTTTGCCAAGCCCGAGCGTGTACCTTTCCGCCTTACGCACAACATGGTAGCTGCCATGGGTATTTACGGCTATGAAGGGCCGTTCCGAAAGTCATCCGAGCTGACGTTGAGCATTCTTCGACAGCAAGAAGAGACGCTTGTGACTATTTTGGAAGCGTTCATTTACGATCCTACGCTGGACCTGCAGAAGGACAAGCGAGCGGCAAAGAGGAGCGAATTCGGAGTCAAGCTACAGCCGCAAAGTGTTGTTGACAGCATCAAGAGGAAGGTTAAGGGATTGTTGCCGAATGAGAGCATTCCTCTGAGCGTAGAGGGACAGGTGGAGGAGCTGATTAAACAGGCGGTCAATCCAAGGAATCTGGCGGCAATGTACATTGGATGGTGTCCGTTTTTGTAGAGCGGACAAATTTATCATGGCTGGTCATCGTTGTATGAATTTACGCTGGTTGGGGTCTATGTTTCCTTGTCATAATTTGAAACGAGAACGTATATTTCATCTAGCATATCATACCTAGATAGGTATACAGGTATCTAGCTTTGATGTTTTCTGTTTCAAGATATGCAACTTGTCACTGATTACGGCTGTATGCTCTGTGACGGTATCAATCACTCCAACTTGCCCCCTATCGACCAGTCATTCAACCGCCGAAGTGCGACCAGCCCGATGTGAATTATTATTGCCGTTGTCATTATAATAATTTGCATCATTTTGTTTTATTTTATTTTATTTCGTTTGAGCAATTCCCCCTCCATCCGATTGATTACGTTTGCTGCAAACCGCCATGCCGATGCATCACTGTCACTGTTTCATTGGTGGTGTGAAGCGCTGAAAGTGAGCTGAGATCAGGCTGCCTGCCTAGCCAGGTCACTTTTTTTTTCCCTTAACCGACGCGACGCGCCGCCCCCAATTTCAGATAATAAACCAGCTCCTCCCCCAGCTTTTCCTTCCCACTCAACTCCTGCAAAATCCTCCTCTTTTTCACATTTTTTCCATCCGTCCACCTTTTGCGTGCCCATTTGTGAACGTTTTAATCTGCATTTTCTTGCTCGTTTTCTGTGCATTTGTGGTCGCCTGTTGCAGAGTTCCACTGAAGGACCAACAGTTCGGGCCACCGACTTTTTCCCACTTCTGCATCGTCGCATTTTAGTCTGTCTGGCCTGAAGCTTGCGAAATCAGGCTCAGCGACAGATATTTGACTCTGTTCCATCTGTTTTCACAGCACCCGCAATCTGCAAACATGCCTCAGTATCGTATTGGTAAGTCCTTCTGTTTCCTTTGTGGCATGGATATTTTCCCATCTTTTCCCCCTATGTCTCCCTTGCGCTGTAAAACATTCCGTTGGGCGTTGCTATCGAAGTGAAAGCTAAACTCGTTATACTACCATGTAGAGATTTCGCCCAACAACCGCGCCGGCTGCAATGACACCGTGTGCAAGAAAGAAGTCGTCAAGATCTTGAAGAATGAAATTAGATTTGGCACTTGGGTCGAGATCCAAGACCGCGGTTCCTGGAAATGGAAGCACTGGTGAGCTACTTTATTATTTCCTGATAACACAGGACTTGTAATTTTCTTAAGAGTCACTAACCTGACAATCAATTTTAGGGGCTGTGTGTCTGGATCCCAGATTGCCGGTCTTCAGGAATCTTGTGGTGGTGATCCTGATAATTATGACTTTGATGCCATTGACGGCTTTGACGAGCTCAAGTAAGTAAAGAACTCCTGTATATACTGACAAAGTATGCTAACATGTCATGCAGTGACGAAGATGTCAAGGAGAAGGTTCGGCGCTGCGTGAAGCAGGGACACATCGATGCCGAAGATTTCAAGGGCGTGAGTTTCTTTTCTGCTGTTTACATATTGCGAATTGTGTTTCACAATCTAACAGACCGCAGGATCCTGAGAAGAACAAGTTGGGCGAGAAGGGCATTTATCTTTCCGCCAAAGAAAAGGCTGCCAAGGAGAAGGCAGCGGCTAAGGTATGCCCATGTTTTTAACATATATGCCCGACATCGTTACTGACCTTTAATAGGACGCTGATGAAGATGAGGCTGCTCCAGCCAAGGCCAAGGCCAACAAGCGAGGTGGCAAGAAGGCTGCCGACGTCGCAGATGAGCCTAAGCCTAAGAAGGCGAAGAAGTCTAAGAATGTCGAGGCAGATGAGGAACCGCCCAAGGCCAAGTCCAAGGCTAAAGCTAAGGCTAAGGATGCAAGCGAGGAGGATGCCGGAGAGTCTGCTTCTACTAAGAGAGGACGACCAAGAAAGTCACTCACTCAGCAGGATGAAGAGGTAGAGGCTGAAGAAGCCGAGGTGCCAGCTCCGGCCAAAAAGGCCACTAAGAAGGGATCAAAGGCAAAAGCTGCCCAAGAGCAACAGCCTGAAGAGGAAACTGTGGAAGAGGATGAAGTCGAGGAGAAGGAGAAGGCTACTCCTGCTAGGGCTGCACGTGGACGGAAGACGGCGGCTTCCAAGGCAAAGACGGCGACTACGGATGAGGATGAAGATGCCACACAAGCCGCCCCAGCCTCTGCCCCCAGGGGCCGCAAGCGTGCCGCGACCAAAACTGACGACGCTGAGGAGGATGAGCCCAAGCCCCTTGTTAAGAGAGGACGCAAGTCAAGCACTCCTGCCAAGAAATCTGCTCCCGAGCCAACGGAGGAAGTCGAGGCAAAGGTGGTGGATACGCCCAAGTCGGCGCCCAAGGTTAAAGGAAGGGGTCGTCCTCGCAAATCTGATGCCTCGACGGCCTAGAGTATCACTGCGAGTGGGTGTTTATGAGCGTGGTACATATGGGAATTGTGCTATATAATCAAGGGGGAAATGTTTGCGTCGACTAATAGGGGCATAGGAGAAGGCGCAGTAGTTATGCCGGAAGTCATGCCCGGAAGTTGTTTCTTTTTTGATGACCCCTGACGTTGGTCTTGAGAAGACGGATAGTTAGGTATTTAATGAGCTTTGAATGACCGACCCGTCGTCTTAAGTAGCAAATATTGCTTTACGTTGAGCCCTTGATGCCATCTAGAGAATGAAGAGTCGTTGTTGGAGCATGTTGCTACTCGTGTACTAGATTGATACTCCATTGATTGGTTCAACAGCCTACATCCCTTGAAGAATAAATGTTGGTATGGATACATACCTAGTACTTGACTAATAAGACGGCAGCTAACAGCAGCTCCAACGGCCAGTATGTTCTAGCTGTGCTCCAGCTGTTATTCTAGCAGATGTTCTAGCAGATGTTCTAGCGCCTCCATAGCTACAGTACAGACACAGCCTAGCGTGGGCAGACGTCATCAGGCACACCCCGCAATGCGAAATGCAGCAGGCTATTTCCAAGCTCGCCACTGACATTAACTACTTTACCTGTATTCGGTATTCGGCGTCTTGCTTCTCTGCTCCAACTCCAATACTAGACTATATCGCAGAACATATCGATATTCCCAGGAGACAGGAATAACATCCTCCCACCATGTCGACAAACACGAATCCCGACCCCGCGGCCACAGCTCCGGCCTTCATCCCCCTCGAGGCCAACCCGCAGCTCCTCACAGCGCTCATCCACAAGCTCGGCGTGTCTCCCGCGCTGCAGATGCACGATGTCTATTCCCTCACGGAGCCCGAGCTGCTGTCCTTCATCCCGCGCCCAGCACTGGCGCTCCTGCTAGTCTTTCCCATATCGGCGGTCTATGAGAGCCACCGGATGGCGGAGGACAGCCTGGCGAGCGAGTACAACGGCACTGGAGACAAAGAGCCGGTGCTGTGGTGGAGGCAGACGATTCGGAACGCGTGCGGGATGATGGGCCTGTTGCATGCGGTTGTGAATGGGCCGGCGAGGGAGTTTATCAGTATGTTTGCAGTCTTGATTCCTTAATTTTCAAAGTCCCAGAGAAGTAATGACGTTGACGAATTATAGCCGAGGGATCTACACTCGACGATCTCATCAAGAAAAGCACCCCCCTGCACCCCGTCGAACGATCCAAACTGCTCGAACAGACGCCGGCGCTGGCCGATGCGCACAAGGCGGCTGCCACCGAGGGAGACACCCCCGCGCCCGACGCCCAGGACGATGTCGACTTGCACTACGTTTGTTTTGTCAAGGCCAACGACGGTGGGTTGTGGGAGCTGGACGGCAGAAGGAAGGGGCCTATTCGGAGAGGGGATTTGGATAAGAATGAGGATGTGTTGAGTGAAAACGCGTTGAACTTGGGGGTGTTGAAGTTTTTGGAGAGGGAGGGTGGTGATTTGAGGTTCAGTGCGGTTGCTTTGGCGGGGACGCTGGATTGATTTGGTTGTTGTGTGATATAATACAAGAGGAAGATAAGAGTAATGTGTCTTGGGTAGGGATGTTGAGTGTCCTGGATTTCTTGACTAATTTCCCGTGATTTCCTTATTTTTGGAGAACGTCTACTGAGAAAGATGACCTCCGAAGTATATGTAGGTTTCCGGGCATAGCAATAGAAACATGATGGGTGAAAGGGTAGACAGCATTTGTGAAGGCAGCAAACGAAGATTGGGCTATTTGTAGCCCGAGATATCTTTCCACCTCATTCATCGCGGAGTACATTGCGTCACAAAATTTGTTCATTGTGATTTAGGAGTCCTCTTTCTGAAGATTGAGATCTGTATTGTTCTCATGGCTTGTACAAGTCTTTTGTGTTTCCGTCCTCGCCTCCGTCTCTCGTTATTGCTGCATCTGCATTGCAAGGCTCTTGGTGTTGTCCTTGCTGCTTCTGCAAGACAATTACCTTCAACGTTATAATACAGTCCTGTGTCAACTTGGATATTTGCAGAGTGAGTCCCACGAGCTGGATTACGCATGGGGATGAGTGGAGGTAGTGATGTTGATGATGTTGCTATTGCGGCTTCATTAGGGAGGGGGATCAGGCCGAGTTGTCTGCGAAGATGCATGTAGACTCTATGCTCAAAGTCTTGGATACTTATGAGCTCCTTGTCTATGTATGTGCTTGACATGGTCATTGGATACATGGAATTTATGGTGAGTGGTTGTAATGGGTGCAGTGGCATGGTACTCGCTCTGCCTTGAAGGTTTATATATCTCTCTACTGGGAGCTCTATTTAGGTGAGATGCTGCATGTGGTCAAAGTGTTATATCTCAGCTGGATCCTGTATTTGGACTAGAAGTTATATCAGGGCAGGGTATTAGTGTCAAGGTGTGAATCGAAGTGAGAGCAGTGATACTAAGAGGAGGTTTGTCATGTTGAGTGTTTGCCCGGCTAAATGTAAAGTAATGTACGAGTTGCCAAGAATCTGCAACATGCAGGCCGGCATCTCGCAGACCATTAATAAACCGATTATCCTAGCTTTACTCACTGCAACCAAAGTTTACATCTTACAGTACATCAGTTTCACAGGCACACAGTGAAAGAAAAAGAGAAAACAACTTATATATCACATCTCAGTTTATTATCCTGTCCGCAGCAATCGGGACTTTTTAGCCATTTAACCACCCCAAACCCCAGCGATTAAAGTATTGCCGTTTTGGGATGGCGCTGTCGCGGCAGATCTCTAGGTCCAGCAATCGCCAAGACAAACAGGCACATGGATTAAGGATTTACCATTATGGATTATGCTTTTTTCACCCCCTTCTTAGCCTGACGTCACTTTTTTCCGCCAAGACTTTCAAGGGTTCTCCGTTCACCTAGGTAAGTATCATCGCGATGACACTCTCGACTTTTTTAAACGCACGCTGATGGCCGAAACCGTTGAAAATCATCGGATCTGAAATATGGGGTGGTGTTTTCGTTTTAATGGGGCTTACTGGAGAATATATGATGTAAAAAACGTGGGAACAATAGCCACATCTCCACAGAATAGCATCATGGTTACGCCAAAGACTCTCAACTCCAGTACATGACGTCAAGAAAGTGTGATGATACAGTAATGCTCTGCAAATCCCAAAAGTCAAATTCACAGAGTTATAAGATTATAAGAAACTGAGTTTTCCGCTTGCATGCCAATTGAAAACATATTACAAAAGTCTATTCTCCAATCTTCAGAAAAACCCAAAGCATCGATCCAACAACAAGCGAAGCTTCACTTAACACAAACAACACAAAGAAGTTTAAAACACACATACACACATCATGCCTCGCCAAGGAGACGGTTCAAGCGACAACGGCCCCTTTGAGGAGGCCACTCACAACATTGGCCACGGCGTCACCAAGGACGATGTAAGTTCATCATCAAAATCGATTGAAAAAAATAAGAATCTCGTTTCTGACTGCTTGGTGTAGAACTCAAAGGACAAGACTGCGCCCCTGCCAGAGGGCCTGCACGAGAAAGGCGCTGGCCTACAAGACATGAACGCGAGCGGAGGACAGAGTCAAGGCATCAAGAAGGGCCCCAATGTTGGTCAGGGCGGACGTGGCAGCACTAATTGAGGGATGAATATGACATGAATTGAAATATATATATGTACTTATCCTGAAATTGAAGCGATGAAGAAATAAAAAAAAAAAAAAGAAAATAACAAATCCATGATGCATTATACAAAGAAACCAACCCCGGTCTATATCATATACATTATATATTATTATTTCATGCAGCCAGCCATTGGCTCTTCATTCCGTCAAGCTCTTGTTCCATCGCTGCATAAACTGATCCTTCCACGTCGGCATGCACCGCACCGTATCCGGAGGCCCCGCCCACTCAATCCTATCGCTCCTCTCGTCGTGATTGGCGACATTGTCAGATACAAAGCCCTTGAGCTTCTTGAGCTTCCTTCCGTTGGTGATGCTGTACTCGAGATTCACACTCGGAACGACAGCAATCTTGCCGTAGCCTCGCCACCACATGTCCTTGCAGAACAGCACGGGCTCGCCCTGGAAACACTCGCCCTTCTTGTCGTAGTTTGTACGGAAGCGCAGGCCCTCGGCAATCGGCTGGGCGCTAAAGACAGTGGCGCCGTTCCAGCACGCAAAGGCCTGGAAAGGGCGCAGCGACTCAAAGCGGGACTTCGTATCCGGCGCATTCCAAAAGAGGTTGTGTGCTTCGCCCCAGTTGCCGTTGGACGGGATGTGGAAGAAGGAGTCGCCGTTCATTCCCCTCGCGATCCAGACGTCGTAGAAGGTGGGATCTTCGCCCGAGTACGTCCAGTCCATGGCGCACGTCATGTCGGCGTTGAGCGTCTTCTTCTGCAAAATCAGCTCCAGGATGTCCTCGGGACACGCCGCCACGTCGTTGAGGAAGATGACGCTGGCGTCGTCCGCCATGGGCAGCGTCCCCTGGAAGATGGGCTCCAGGGGCATGTTTCGCAGTGCGGCGAGCTTGGCGATGCGGTTGCCCTCGGCCGAGTGGACGGTGGACGAGTTGTAGATGTAAGTGACGCCCAGTGCTTCAAGGCTGGGCCGGAGAGCGGCGAGCACGTCTCCGGTGCCGTCGGGAGAGTCTCCCTCTACAATCGAGAGAGCACATGACTGGGGGCCGAGGAACTGAATGACTTCGACGATGCTGCCGATGAGACGGGGGAGCAGTTCGATGCAGTTCCTCAAGTCGAGGGCGAAGAAGTACCGGATCTCGACGTCGGGAGTTGTGTGAGAGAGTGAGCGAGGAAGAGCAGCAGGAGGAGTACTAGATGGCGATAGTGATGACGGAGATTCTAGTAAAGATGACTGTGAAGCTGAATCTGAAGCTAGAGATGAGGGTGAAGATGTAGACAGAGAAGAAGGAGGTGATGAGAATAGCGGCAGAGACGAAGATGAGGACGGATATGTTGAAGAGGATGGGACCGGAGGAGGAGAAGACGGTGCCGGTCGTTTCGGTGAAGGCTTTCCAGACTTGAGCGACTTGTAACGTGTTACGTTGAGGGCCGGGCATTCGAGATTGGCCAGCCTCGAAGTCGGCTTCACATTGTAGATGGCCTCGAGGTACTCGCTAATGTTTTCCGCCGGGAGGATTGCGCCTGGGACAAGTCAGGTCAGAGCCTCATTCATTCATCCACTTGCACTGTGTCTGTCTGGTCTGCGCCAAGCTTTTCTCTTACCATTGTGTATAACCTCCTTGGAGAGCTGCTTGTACGGGATCGGGCGTCTCTGAGAGCTGGGGAACCACGACAGGCGATCGCGCCCAATGTATAAGCTGCCCAGGAGCAGAAAAAATATAAATGGAGCCGCCACCAACGGCAACCTTGTTCTACGCATTTCAAAAGAAAAAGACTTGGCACCCGCGAAGAAGATGAAAGGGTAAGGGGGGAGGAAAAGATGTGAGAAACCCTTTCAACTTCTCGGGAACGAAAGTGCTTTTGACGGGCGTGGAGAAAGATAAAGCGATTGGCTAAAAAGTCAAAAACCCAGAAACACGGCTCCTCGATAGGAGAGAAACAGAGTCCAGCCACAGGAGCCAAAAAAGAAGGATATGACAAGAGAGGCTGTGTAGGAGGAGTATCTGGCTGCTTGAGTGATTATGATCCTTCGGCTATCGGACAGCACAGCAAGGCGGTGGGTCGTCGTTGTGGTGATAATATTCGCAGTCTCTCTCAAGTGCTTACTTTTTGCTCAACCGGATAGTAGATACTCGTAAAGAGTAATAGTAATAGACTGCACAGCATTTGTTGCCTGCTTGTTGGGTTCCTTGCAAAAAAGCCAAAGTGGACTCCTCGGACAGCGGATACGCCGGGCTGATACGAGGAATTATATGGATGTCAAGCATCGCACGGCTTTTTATGCAGCTCGCGAACCTTGGAAGACTTGAAGCGGAATAGCCAATGCAGTGGACAGCTGCGAGACAAGACACGGTGTGACAGCATCTCGCTTCCTGCGCACTCGCATAGGAGGAGGAGGAGGAGGAGGAGAAGCAGAAGCAGAGCAGAGCGAGGAGAGCGTTGTTTTGGCCCTCCATTGTCTTCCCTGTCTGATGCAACTCCTCCTCCCATCTTTCTTTTTTTCACTCACTCATTTTCGCTCTCGTTTCTCACGCCAGCCCAGCTCTCGCAAATCTCGTAATTGCTCTTCGTACTAGCCCATGAACCCTGGACTTCCCAACCATCTGGAACGGTCTCTCCAGCGGCAGGATACGAGATCAAGCTCAGGGCGATTGGCCGCCTTCAAACATGGGCAAGGGCTATTTGGCACAGGCTAAGCCCCCACTGGTCAAGCCGAGCTGTCTCCAGAGCACGGCCCTTGGGGGAAAAAAAAAAAAGACGCCATTTTTTGGGATCCCCTTCAGCCCTTTTGTCCGCAGGTGCTACTGTACGAGGAACTCGTATGGGTATTACATGTGAAGAAAACGGAAAGGGAAAAAGAAAGAAAAAAATGCCTTGGCTACCTTACGCGCGCATCAGGCACAGCACAGCAAGCAGGGTCCTTTCTTATCTTTTTCGGCTTAGTCAACTTTTTTGTCGGAACAATATCGTGACAACAGCAAAAGGGCGTGCTAATTGTGGCGAGCTCATCTCATTCTCATCCTCATGCTCATTCTCACGGTAACACGTTGTTTTCCCACCACAGGAGGGCATCCCATCACCTGTTGCAAGCAGATTGGTCGGACGGCCAGCTGTTGGGGGACATCGTGGCAAGTTGTTTATGCCGCACAATGGAGAGAGACAGAGAAAGAAAGAACGGGGTGCTGTTTGCGAATGTCTGAGATACTAATGAGACCCTTGTCCGCTGTTATCGGCAGACTAGCCCAGGACGGGGAAAACAAATGCTTGTTTTTTCAGTTCTATACGAGGGGTGTAGAGGGTGTGGATCCAACCTTATGTATTGCCCGTTTCTTCGAAGAGTCAAAAGTTCACAAGCTTTCCGAGACAATGACGTTGTAACAAAAGGTCTATAGACTCTAACTAGATCGAACGTTACATAACACTCAATCAGGCGATTGATTGGTCTGGTGGTCTAGTGGTATGATTCTCGCTTAGGGAAAACCCTACAGCTGATATGCGAGAGGTCCCGGGTTCAATCCCCGGCCAGACCCTTCTTTTTTTCCTTCCTTCTAAAGTTCTCTCTTTTTTCCTTCTCTCTCAGCTTGCCGCGGCGATTGCCTCATTAGGCAGTAGCTATTAAAAGCAGCAGACTCCATCCGTACCTGTCAGTGCTCACTCATCATCCATCCCAATCCACCCGTACAAGGACGAATAAGAAGGCCAGCAGAAAATTCTTTTGGGCTCGGCGGTTTTGCCCTGGTCAATCAGACGAACCAATCGTTCAGCTCTTGCCAGTCACTAGTTGGTCGCGATTGTCTCATCAATGCAGGTTGATTGATTGATGCTACCCAACAAACTAACCTCGTACTATGTATGTAGAGGCTTTCTGTTTTTTTAATTTCAAAAACAATCAACTCCTCACAGTCTCCTTCGGCGGTTGCTCGAAATGCTTCGGCCCCCGGACATGAAATATCCGCGAGCTGCTGCGCGAGGAGGATACGAGTACACATGAGTAGTCCGTCTTCTCACCGGTGCCTCTTCGCCCGCACCCGCGCGAGGCGGAACTCTCCCAACTGCCGCTGCCGAAGACGACGAGCCCTGGCCAACAGCAGCAGCAGCAGCAGCGGCCGCAACAGTAGCGCCAGGGGCAGCGTTACTGTTACTATTGCTCCGGTACGACGTGTGTGATCGCCGCTGGACGTCCTCCAGGACGCGCATCCACGATCGAAAATGGCGGCGGTTTTCTTCCTCCTGGTGAAGCCGTCGTGTAGTCGCCAAGATGCGCTCCGTGAGGTTGCGATACGCGGGCGTTGCCGTAGTGTTGGTGTTTATGTTGGGCGAACCGTTGTTGTTTCGAGACGAATTGCCGTTGCCCTGCTGGCCTCCTCTCTGACGGGTTTCGCCGTGTCTGTGCTGGCCGTGGCGGTGATTATGATGACGGTAATCTTGCCGAGCACGCTATACACATCAAATCTCCTCATCAGTAATCCGAAAACCAAAGATTAGATTTAGGTAATCTTTAATCAAACATGAACCACAAAAAACAAAAACAAAAACAAAAAAACAAAAAAAGCTTACATCTCTCTCCTCAGCCCTACGCTCCCCTCCCACATACCCCCCCTCATCTCCCTCCCTCCATCCAGCCCTACCCCTTCGCAGCGCATCTCGTCTCGCCCAACAAGCCGAGCAATCGCTCAGATACGCATCATCATCGTCGTCGTCTTCATCATCGCTGCTTTCAGAGCTGGAGCAGCTTGACGCACAGCTCGAGCAGCAGCACGTCGAGCCCGAATACTCGGATCCAGACTCCCGCTCCTCCGACACGAGCACGTATCCCGTCCTCATCGGGTCGCGGCGAAGAAGTCGTTGAAATCTAGCGCCGCGGTCGTAGTTTCTGCCGCTGCTCGCCATTTTATGAACGGTGACTCTTTTTCCAACGATGCAAAGTTAATAGTCTTCAAAAATCAAGAAATAGGGGGCTGAAGAGTCTCTAGAGGCACGATTCAAGAGCTACATCCGCATCTTCGAATCTACAACTCCCATCTCAGGGGCTTCAGCCTCTAAATACTCATCAGTAAAAGCACAGAAGAAGAAATATCCGATTACGACGGCTACAAATGTTTGCGTTGCACCTCCTTCATCCCTCGGCAACATACACAACAACATGTAATACCTGTGATACGCCTCCCTACTCACTTCAAGTCAGGCATCCATCCGCAGTCACACTCGCTAGGAAACGCTGCTGCTGTTTTCCATCCGTCTCTCATTAACTAATATCGTACTCATTATATAATGTAACATAACATCTTCCCCCCCTTAATCATGAACAATGGCAATCCCATATGATACAGAGCCTGCCTGCAGCTGATGACGACTTGCTACCGTCCTCCCCTCCCCCTTCGCCCCTTATCCTGATACCCAATTACACAAGGCTGTCCCACAAACCTGTCGCAAAACGCCATGCTTCATCAATGTTTCCGCTTTCTCTCCTTCATTCGGCAGACGTCATTCGTGTTCCGGCAGCTTTACAGAAAGCCCTTGGTCATACTAGGAGCTCTGTTTAGGCTGCTGTTTCTTTGGGGAACATCAATGAGTGTCGAATCCTCACCTTCACTACCGGTCCTCCAGGTGACGCCTCGGCCTCGGACACTTCCCACGGGTGCTGAGCCCTTCTCCATACGAAGGCCCTTCCACCCCTCTAGCTCTCGCTCCAGGCGGTGACACTTCTCCTTCTCTTCGCGCAATTCACGCTCGGCACGACGAGCCGAGAGCTGGTTCGTCGACTCTGACGCTTGCAGCTCATCGATTGTCTTGAGAAGCTTGTCGACCCTGTCGCGCATGCGGTTCACGTCATCAGTAAGCTGGAGGTTTTGCTTATCCTTACGCTCAATCTGCGTCTGTAGATCCTTGACGGTACGATCCACGTTTCGAACAGAGCGCTGAGATTTGTTCTTTTCTTCTTCATGGCTGTCCAATTGCGATTCAAGCTGGTGCGTAGTTAGTATATACATACCGTAAATCTAGTAAGAAAGGAGCAGCCTACCTCTTGGATGCGCTTGTGCAAAAATTTAATGTCCTGGCTGCCACTCGAATAGCCCTTAGTTTCAAGGTCTATCAGTTTCAGTTGTGCTTCGCTCAAACTCTTCTCTAGAGACGTCTTCTGTTTCTGTAAGCCCGCAGCATTCTCACGCTCAGCTGCCACATCCTTCTGAATCTCAATGGCCAGTGCCTCAGCGCGTCGCATCTTCTCCACGGCGGCGAGAGCAATGTCCTCTTGTCGGGCGAGACTGGTCTTCAAGTTGAGGATTTCCTTGTCCATGCCCGCAGCGTCACGGAGTGATGGACTTCCACCCTTGACAAGCTCATCGTAACCTGCCTTGGCTTCTTCGAGACGAGCTTCGACGCCCTTCTTCTCCCTGATAAGGAGGTCGCGCTCCGTGGTGATTTCGTCCACGCTAGATCGAAGAGTTCTCACTTGAGACAGCAGGGAAACAATCTTGCTTTGAGCCTCGTTATGCGCGGTGACTGCCTCATCACGCGACGAGGCCACGTCGACCAATGTAGATTCCAATCGGGCCTTTTCCTTGGACCATGTTGAGCTGTTTAGCACCTCATCATCCCACTTAGATCTAAGCTCATCAAGTTCTTCCCGAAGCCTGGTAATCTCCGCTTGCTTGAACAGCTTCTCTTCCCGAGCAAGGTCGAGCTCCTTGGCCAGGGTAGCAAATTCGGTTTGATACTTCTTGCGAGTTTGCTCCATGCTCGACTCCTTGTCTTCAATCTCCATGGCCCTTTGATTGCGGTAATCTTCCAACTCGTGTTGAAGACGCCTTCTGGCTTGCGTTGCGGCGTCCAAGTCGGTTGACAGGTCCTCCACCCGGCCCTCAAGGCGATGGTTTTGGCCTTGCAGATCCTCAATCAGAGCATCCATCCTCTGCCTCTCAGACATGACTTCAGTGTACGTTTCTTCTGCCTCCTTGGCCTGCGACTTGGCAAACTGCTCAGCTCTCGTCGCTTTCAAAACTGCGATTTCGGCCTGCTCAAGCTTGCTAAAGTACTCATCCGCTCGGCCCCTGTACATCTCTAGGCTGGAGGATACGTCGGCAAGCCTGGATGTCTCTGCATCGAGTCTAATCTGGAGATCGGTGAATTCTTGCAATAACTGGCTTCGGCTTTGAGCCTCCTGCTCGCGTGCGGCAGTCATCTCCTGAAGGTCAGACTTTGAATCTCGGAGTTCGACTTCCAGCTTCGCCCGATCGTGGCGCATCTTGTCGAAATGAGCCTTCACTTCAGTGAGTTCGGCAAGAGCATCTTTGTGGCTATGCAAAAGGGATTTGCGTGCTTCTTCCTGGCTATTAAAGATATCCAAAAGCTCCTCATGAGAGCGTGTTTGGATGTCTCGCAGAGAGAGCTCACCAGTTCGCATACTCTTCTCCAAAGCAGCCACTTTCTTAGTCGAATCGTCCAGCATGTCGTGAAGGCGATTGTTGGCCTTTTCAAGCTTCTGTACTCGGAGGATTGATGCCTCGTCTTCGTATGCATCATCAGATGATGAGTTCCGGTCGAGTTGGCTCTGGAGTTTTCGGTTCTGCATCTGAGCAAGCTGTAGCTGACTCTGGAGGTCCTCGATTTCTGCTTTTAATTCGAAGCCATTCCTGATATCAGATGCGCCAAAGCCTCTGTCAGACTGAGAATGATCCTGAGAATTGGGGTCATGGAAGCGCCGGCCGGCGCCCACGCCATTGGAATTAGAATGCAGGCCTGCTTTGCCAGACTTCTTCACCCCAGGTGACCCTTGGAAAGGCGCCTCATTTGGATGCAACTCTCCAAGTCCTGGTCGGGTCGGGCTCTCATTTCTCAATGCCCTCATCTCGTTCAGCTGGCTTTCCGCGTTCGTCCTGGCTACGGTTTGGACTCGCAGTTTCTGCTGTAGTTCCTCAACCATACGAACAAGGTCAAAGTTCTTGAGCAAAGCCTTCTCGCTACTGGAATTCGTCTGGGGGACTTGGACCTCGGGGTCAACCATTTTGAGTGCCTTGAGCATCTGAGCTCTCATATCTTCCAGCTCCTTATCTCGTGAGTCTATGGATGCCTGCAGTGTGCGTACCGTAGACTGTGTTTGGTTTCGCAATTGTCGCTCCGACTCAACCAGTCGATTCGCTTCTGCCAGTTGGACGGTAAAGTTGGAAGAGGCCTTCTCCGCATTCCTACTAGCTTTTGCCTCCCTCGCAACCTCGTGATTAAGATCTTCTAGGTTGAGGTGAAGTTTCTCTAGCTTCTTCTCCAAAGTTGCAACGTTGAGCTGAGCATCGCCTAACTGTTTGTTCAGTTTTGCGTTTTGGTCTTCCAGCTTGGTCTTTTCTCCACGAAGGGACAGAAGCTGGCTCCGAGAGGCCTCTGTTGCGCGAGAGCTGGATCTAGCAATTTCGAGGCCTTTTTGCTGCAGCTTATTGAGTAAAGTTTTGTTGTCGTTTTCTGACGCTGCAAGCCGGCTCTTTATTGTGTTGAGCTCACGTTCCATCCTCTCCTTTGCCTGATCATTTTTCAACCCAAATTCTCCAGATGTGAGGATGAGCTTGTTTAGCTCCTCAACTTGGCGATTCAGTTTGTTGCATTCCTCTTCAAACCATTGAAGACGCTCTTGAGCAGCTTCGAGATCTTTTCGAAGGCTGGCTTCCCTTTCGCGTGCCGCCTTCGAAGCCTGGCGTTCACCAGCCATCTCGGCCTGTAAGCGAGCCTCTTCCGCTTCTGTTTTGGCTACGCGAAGCTTTCGAATCTCGTCTCTGGCCTCGTCCCGCTCTTTTTCGACCAAGGTTCGCGCCTCCATGGTCCGCCTCAAGGTATCTTGCTGGACATACATTTCCTTCTCGATGATGATCTTTGCGTCATTCAGGCGATCAAACTCATCTTTGAGCGCCTGGTACTTGTGCTCTCCGAGCAGTAAGACATCATCTCGAGACTGCCGCTCTCTGCTGAGTTCCATTTGCGTCCCATAGAGCTCGTCCTGGAGATCTTTGATCTGAGACTCAAGAACTTTGCGGTTCTTCTCAGCCTGTGCGTCCTCAGACAGCCGAGCTTCAAGCAAAACTTTGGCATCCTGAGCCTCGCGTTCTAGCTGTACTTGCTTGGATTTCAGTGCTACCAATTCAGCTTGAACATCGCGGAATCTGGCAGCATTCTTCTCCATATCCTCTGTAAGAGCCCTCTTTTGCTCTTCGAGGCTTCGGCGCTCGGCTTCTGACTGCCGTTTATCATCGCGCAGCAATGCCAGCTCGCTTTCCTTGGATCGGACAAGATCTTCGTAGTCTGTCGATGTCTTCGAAAGCTCCGCAAGTTGCTCGTGCACCTCTTGGTTCTCTCGAGCCAGGCGAACCTCTCGCACTTTGGCTGCGTCGAGATCTTTCTGCGCAGTGAATAGCTTGACTTCGAGATCTTGGTCCAGCTTGAGCAATTTATCTTCCAAATCCTTGGCTTTTCGATCTTTGAGAGCCAATTGACTTTGAAGCATCTTGATCTCACCTTCCATGGCGGTCTCTTTGTCGGTATGCTCAGATTGTCTTCGAGATAGATCATTGATGGCTGCCTCGAGTTCCGCTGCTTTGGCTGACAAGCGTGTCTTTTCCTCCTCGAGCCTAGAGATGAGGGAAGCCGCCTGTTCAAGCTGCGCACGATATTTCTCAACTTCTTGCTCTGCTCGGTTCTTTGCCTCCATCAGGTTGTCCAGCTGGTCTTCTAGTCTTTCTTGATCTTCGAGTGCGCCTGCTAGCTTCTCTTCCAATTCATCCTCACGATCTTGAAGTCGCATGAAAATCTCTTCCTTGTCCAAAGCAAGGGCGCGTTCGCCCTCCAAAGTTTTCTGGATGCGAGCAATCTCGGCTTGACAATTCCTCCTTTCGTCTTCTAGTTTCTGGCGGCTTTCCAGCTCAAGACGCATCTTCTCACTTAGGTCTTTAATCATGGCATCTCGTTTCTTCACTTCAGCTGCAGTTCTAGTGGCGCCGAGGAGAGGTCTCATCTTTACAATGAGCTGCCACCATGGATTTCCGACGAGATCGAGATATACCTGGAAGTTCCTTTGGATAATTCGAGTGGCTTCGGTACGGAACAGCCGTTTATGGGCTGCGCGGCGGCGAATGTATCCCCTGGCTACCGATTGGAATCGAGCCATGATCTGAGTAATGAGAGCATCACGCTGCTCTTCCAATTCTGCTAGAAGGCCGGCTCGGAAGAAGACCTTTGTGAGACCAACACGGTACATAGCCTTGTCAAGACCGAGCCTCTCAAGCATAAGAGAGGCCACAACTTGGCCATCCGGATGACCCTTTGGTATATCAGGACAAAGCACTTCGTATCGCTGGCGGAATTCGGTAAAGGGCAATCGATTGGGGAAGCCGGTTCGTGCAATTCGAATACCTTCCAACACACCATTACATCTGAGCTGGTCCAAAACCAGTAGTTTGTCAAACAGCTTCGGTCGCTTTTTGTAGTTGGGCAGGATACAGCGAACAAAGTGAGGGTGTGTAGACTGAAGCTGAGACATCAAGTTGTGAAGTTGTTCTTTGTGCCTCTGGGCCACGGTTCGGAATAGGCCCTTCTTGACACGGCTCCTCCGTCCACCGTGATCATCGTCGGAATCAGCACAGTCTACAAAAAGATTTGCAATATGCTGATCAGTCGAAGCTGCCAACAAGCGCGTGATGTTGTTGTTTAGAGGATCTTTGTTCTTTTCCAGCCAGTCCTCGGTGGAGTACTCGACCTCAGCTGCATAGTGAGTGAGGATGAAGCCCTGGCCCAGCCGAGAGGGACGGTATTTTGTAGACTTTTTGTCCCATAAGTGGTTGAGCTTCTCCGTGAAAGACTTATCGGTGGCTTTGGGCATGACGCAGTCTTCGTCCAGGCAAGAGAAAATTCCTATTGGATTTGGCAGCTCAATCAAATCGATAGTTGGTTGTAAATCCCGACCAAAATCAATGAATTGCCACTCGATTTGCTCGCGGGCATACTCCTCTTGTTCAAGGACAAACATGTGGTGGTTGAAGAATTGCTGGAGCTTTTCGTTGGAATAATTGATAAGCAGTTGCTCAAAGCTGTTCTTTTCAAAGATTTCGAACCCAGCAATATCAAGAACACCGATGAATCTAGAGTCTTCTAGACCCATGCCAGTGCGGTCGAGTTGGCGATTGATTCGAGCTACAAGGTCACTAAATCCTCGCTCATATATACCCTTCGCGAGAGCGTCCAAGCTAAGTCGAACCTGCTCGGGAGTCTGAACTTTCTCAACCCATTCGCGTCCAGCCTTCACCTTGGGGTGTAACAGGCCTTGGAGGAACGGGTCGAGGGGCACGCCCAGGAGCTTGCAAACCTTGGCAGCTTGCAATTTGGCGTCCGAAGCCAGTCTAGCCTGGTCTGCACTCCGGCTCTCCTTGATAACGTCAATATTCCCCAGGTGCAGTACCGCGGCAATGGTGCGAAGAATTGACAGTTGATCTTGACTGGAGAAGCCAATAACTTCAAAGGCTTCCAGAAGCGCACTCCATTCCTCTTGGTCAGACACTCCGGCCACGCTATCGTGTCCGTTGCGAGTGTAGGCGAAATCACCGATATCCAGTCCATCCAAAAGCAAATCCCTTCTAAGTTTGGGATCTGCTCCTTTCAGAATTTGATAAAAAATGTGATAATTTCTCTCCTGCGCATTCACCCTTACGACTCTGGACTTCTCGAGTAGATACCAGTCGATAAATGCTCCAGTAATAGCGCCATCTCGACTGAACTCGATTCGAATAAACTTGCCAAATCGCGACGAGTTGTTGTTCCTCACTGTTTGGGCATTGCCAAACGCTTCTAGAATAGGGTTGGCGCGAAGAATTTGTTCCGAGAGGTTTGTGTGCTGGGATTGATTCTTGATCGGAGACTCGGATTGTGCAACCGCCGCCAAATACTGAATAACTTTTTTGGTGTTTTCTGTCTTTCCCGCACCAGATTCACCAGTGACTAGAATACTCTGATTGTGACCTTCTTCGACCAGATTACGGAACGCCTCATCAGCCATGGCAAAGATGTGAGGCTTCGTATCGTCTCGACTTCGACCTTTATACATGTTGATATAATCGTTGGAGTAAATCGGCAAAGGGCAGTATGGATTGACGGTAACCAGAAAGAGGCCTGAATAAGTGTAGATCAGGTCCGATTGGTACCGCGTGTGCAGGTTGTGAACGACCGACGCCTCATTCAAATGGGTCAACTCGGCCATATCGTTTGCCTTGTCGAATTTGGCGGGGTTCACTTTATCAACGCTCTCGGCATCAACTTCGCGTTGCTTTATACCTTCATTAGCATAATTTGCCCATGTCCATGCTAGGGAGATAACTTACAGCTCCACTGTCGGTTTGTACCAAGATTTTGTTATCCTCTAATTCCTCAATGACCCAACCTTTCACGAAAGCTTCTTGAGGGTCCTTAAGCCAGACATATCGCTTGCCAGAAAAGTCGTTCTCGCCCTCAATGCTTTTGACAGCATCCTGGTCTCGTCTCAAATCTTCCTCTTCCTTGATGAAGGAGGGGGCAAAGGTGTTTGTGTTCGAGCTCGTCCCAGCCCTTGAGTCGGTTCGATGGTGTCTTGCCACTATGCCAGCCGGGGCAATGGCTGTACCAAAAGAGCTATTGTTACCAAAAGAGCTATTGGTTCGAGGTCGTGCAACCGAGGCTGTGGAGGCCATGGAGGCCGTAGAAGCTGTAGATGGCGGTGTCGACACGCTGGGAGAACTCGTGGGCGAGGCGAAGAGAACTGACTTTGGCCTAGAGGAGGGCATTGCTTGTGAGGGAGAGGCGTTTCTCGCAAACGGATTGCTCCGCCGCGGCCCCGAGCCATTAGGTGTGAAAGACATTGTTGATTATCGACTGAGGTTTTGAGGCCAACTCATACCGATATGCTACAATGCAGTGGTTGATGTTGGCCCGTAACGTAACTTTCGGTCGCGCTGAATAGGAGGCAGCCAAATAGAAACTTAGAGAGAGAACGATGTGTTGCTGAAAGTTGAATAGAAAAGAAAAGAAATAGTACAAGAAAGATGCACAGGCACTTCCGCCAGAATTAAAGCATCACGTATAGAAACACAAATCAACAATGCGGTGCGGTGACAACTGGGGGGAGCTCCGTGAATGTATACATCCATGCAGCTTACAGCACCCTGGTTGCTGGGGCGAGACCCCGCGAAAGTAAACAGATGCGCTTCACGTGACTCAAGCAATCGCGATAACAACCATTATCAGGGCACTAGTCCCAGGAAAGAATAGCACCGCTTCGACCACAGCTAGCTGATCTCTTTTGCCCAAACGAAATTACCTTTTCATCCCACATGGCAATCATCGCGTCAATCCTCCCTCATTCACACTCTGCAAAAAGGTAGCTGGTCTGATGCGCCAGGCTTCTTTCATCCGTGTAGCAACTCAGGAATAATTCAGCGCCGTGCTCTCTTTCTTCCGTCCTGGATAGGCGTCTCCGCTTCCGCCGTCGCTCGGTTCATCCTGCCTTGATGAATTGTTTGCTGCCTCGACCTCGACCTCGATATCGATTTCCCAAATAACCCCAGTCAAGGGCCTTTACAAGCTATCAGCACCACCCCCGCATGCGCTTGCAACCAGCTTCAACAATTCATCCCCGTTAGCAACCTCGCTTTGCTACTCGTTGAGCTTGTCCCACGGGTTGTTCCCTCGGACTCGACGATGGCTCAATCAGGTTATGGGTACGACCCATTACATGGCTACCATCCACAGGCTCCATATGGGCATCAGCCGTATCCCCCATACCCGGCTTCGATTCACAGTTATCCAAACGGCGCGGTGCAAAACATTGTACAAAGCGAACCGGCCTCCAGAGATCCGTATAATCCGCACAATGTGATTCCCGGATTAGGCCTGAATTTTTCGCAAAATGCGGCACAGTGGCCAGCTCCCTGGGCAGGCCAGCAACATTCGTTCGGGCAGGCGCCCCCTGCTACTGGAGGAAATGGCCCTTCACAACAAAATGATATGAGCGAGGAAGGAGAGGTCAGCGAAGGTGAAGTCGAGGACGCCTATGAGCCAAGAGACGCTGAGGTTGTCGCCGACGTATCAAATCAACACGGAAATGGGGGCTACTACTCAGCTGAGTACGGCATTGCGCATGTCAGAAGAGTCGCTGTTGACCCGTCAGCCGCTTTTTCTGCTGGTATGTTATCGCATACTTCGGATTAACAAACGGTTCTCTCAAGATTGCTAATCAAGCGTTAGGTCGAGATCGATCAGGTTCATATTCCCCGTACCTATCCCCCCAAGAAATCGACCATCAAGCGATGACTGATTCTCCTCATGGTGAGCATAACCAGCATTAAATATTGCAAGATCGATTCAGCGACTAATATTCAACATCAGAATCACATTCGAACAATATTGCCCCTGCAAAACCATCACAGCTGTCTCCCAAAACAAACGGACCGAACCATACCGCAGCCAACCCATCACCTGTCAAGAGCGTTGCTACGGCACGGAAACAGGCTCAGGATGCCATCTTGCGGCTTTGGCCATTAAACGTACGATATCAAAATTACGTTGATGAGGGAATCGACGAGTCGTTATTAGGTGGCCTCTTTGACGAGCTGGGATTCGATATGGCTCTGCCAGATAACATCACGACTACCGATCCTAGCCAGGAAAAAAAGGCAAAGACAGAAACAAAAGATGAGACTCTATCCACCGGTAGCAACCAACGACATCCCGGTGCTGAAGGGAAGCCTGCCAGCGCACCGGTGAAAGACAAGTCAGAGGAGCGCAAGGATCGCATTGCGCGACTCCTAGCTGCGAAAAGCTCAAAGCCAAGCACCTCTTCAACCTCGGCTTCAATTCCTGCCCGTGCACCCGTCATAGTACCAGCTTCAACGCCCTCTTCGCATACGCCAGTTGCAAGACCCCAAGGCTCAGCAAAGACACAGTCTGAGAAATCAAAGCTTTTATATCAGAAGATGGAGGCTCTGCGGAAAGCTCGTGAGCTTGAGGCGCGAGGACAAAAGCGACCTCATCAAGACGTTCTCTCTCGCCAAACCCACCAAGCAAAGGACAATGTCACGACCACCGCTTCCTTCGATACGTCCACCAGTGGCATTCGATCTGCCTCGCGGGAACATACGCCGGGCCAAAGCGAAAGCCCCAATGGACCGTTTTCCCTCCCCATTCCTGGACTTTTTCTGTCCTCTACGCCACAGCCCTCGCACTTTGCACAAATATCGAATTTGGAACGCCCAGCTTCTACGAGTGTGGTGGATTCTAACCCGAGGCCATTCAAACGTCCTTTCGGCCAGACCAGAAGATCTCGTCCATTCCTCATTGATGTCAGCGACGATGAAGATGATACTGAAATGGATCTTGATTCTCCTGAGCAGAAGGTGGTGTCGCTAGCTACGAGGCCAAATCCAAACCTGAAGACTTCTATTTCTATGCGCAGCATCCCATCAGTTACAGACAACGCAGCTGCAGCACAGCAATATTCGAGCCCACTGGCAACACCGCCTGGCAGCGGCAATGACAATCATGCAAGAAATAACCTGGACAGCATGACCAAGAAGATTGAGGACATGAAAAGAAGAATCGCAGAGGCTGAGGCTCGTAAGAAGGCAAAGCAGTCGCAACCAGATTCACCGGCTCTACCAACATTGAATGGTGATTCTCTCAATAGCAGTTTTGAGACAGCCATTGCCAACAAGGATACGATTTTACCTGTATCACTATCTATTGAACCTGGAGAAATTTCTCATTCAACGCCCTCAGTATCGGGCCCATCCCCCAGAGTGCCGCATCAGTTATTAGATTCGAGTCCCCTGAGTGTAAACGAACGACGACGTAGTCGATCGCGGGCGGCAAGCGAGCGTCTTCCCGCCATCGAAGCTCGCCGTCGAGAGCAACAACTCAAGCTGCAACTGTTGCAGGCTCAAGTTGCAAACATTCAACGCGAAATTCAACAAAGCCTAGAAGAAGAAGAGAAATTAAAGGAGGATGTTGGCATTGAGTCAGACAGTGAGCAAACGCAAGAGCGGCAAGGTAAGCCATAATATGCATGCTACAATACGACCTTGATTTTGCTCTCAATACTAATCTTCTTCTCAGATGAAGCTCAGACTCCTTCTAAACCACCAAGTCCTTCTTCTCCGTTAACAGACATAATGGACATTGCGAGCACATCTCCTCAAAGCAATAATGCTTCTCAACATGGCCGAGAGGCTTTCGTACATCAAACCGAGGAATCACGGGAAGAGCAACAGCCCGGTATGCCCTTGATGGCGCAGGCTGAGCAAAGTCTACCGACCGATTCCCAAGCCGCTAATGCTATAACTGCAGTCGCTGAGAACGACAATCAAGAGGCTATCCAGAGCGCCCTGTCGACACACGACAGCAACACTACAACAGTAGTAGATGAAGCGCAAGACGTGGCCATGTCGGAAAGTGGCGATTCCGACAATGCAGACTCTGAAGACGGATCTGACGACTACGAGCCTCCAGATGTTGAAGTATCTAGCTCCTCAAAGAATCTTTCACGAGCGTCAACCCCATTTAGTCCCGCACCGGCTGATCTAGTTTCAATCCCCGAAACGAGCCCCAGTGGCTTCCAAGATCCAGATCATACGACAGATGCTATTGCCACGCAACAGATATCGACAGTTGAACAGGATACGGCTTCTGAAAGTGGAAGAGAAGTAGACGTTGCCCTGCACGCGAACGACCGACCATTATATCTAATTGCTAATCAGGTTGACCAAGTAAGTGAGGCACTGGCGGCTCCGGCCTCAGCTCCAGCCTCTGATACCCTCCAGACCACTTTTGTACCGTATGAATCGCCCCTTCGATACTTTCGCGCATATCGCTTCCATCCAGAGTATTCCCAATCCGTCGCTGGCGGTCTTCGCTCTTTAACATACAGCAATAAAATAGACGTGAAGCAGGAGATGTGCCCTGATGAGCTGGCAAATAGCAATTGTCCGAGGGGCAAAGAGTGCCAGTTTCAACATTTCGAGAGCATGCAAGCTCCGGGTATGTATATCTCGAGGCTCTTTTGAGCTGATGTATAGAGAACGCTGACATAAAAAAACAATGATCAGATGACCAAATCCTCCTCCAGCTCGGCGCTCACGGCGACTTTGAGGAGCAGAAGAAACACGAGTACATCAACGGGTTACGTCATCTCTTGACAGACTTTCGCAACCGCAAAGTCAAGGATTTCCAAACCATCAGCCAGGGCATTATTGACTACCGAGCCCAATTCCTCGGAGACAGGAGCAAGATTCTCCCACTGGGCGGCGTTACGATTTGACGTGACCTTGTCATGAAGCCTATCCCATTTTCACCCTTCCCCCTATAACCACCCCGATGCGTAACTCTAACCTAACCTTTCTTCACACTTATCTTGCGTAAGAGATTTAAGCCATTCTATCCATTTCACAACATTAGCTGGCGTCGGAATCGGAGTTGCATCCAATGCCTCAGCCCATGGGAAACCAACCAATGGGTTTGATGTTTTGCGTCTTTACCTGACATGGATATCTGTCTGCTGCATTCAGCCAGTGCATGTTATTTAGAACAGACATGTCTTTGATCGTGTCGATATACCCCTTCTACTACTTTTTTTTTCCTTTTTGGTCAATTAGCCCCTTGTATGAGGCAGCTCCTCATTACTTAGAAAGATTCGAGCCCTGGAGCGTGGCACGAATGAGAAAGAGTTGGGACATGAATGGTTTATAATATTGATGAGTCTCCATTTTACGATTGGTCACGGCGCTGCTATTGAGCAGGTCATCAATCAGTAGTATTTGAATTGAAATGCGTATTTGTTTTCATGGATCTTTTGTGCCTATTCCGCCTTGTGAAGTTTAAGAATGAAGAAGATTGCTTTGGTATTTATTACTACAGGTATATATTTTCAAGTGACACGGCTATAGACAGAAGTGGAATTCAATCCTCAATCAAGAAGTACGCCCAGACGATCGACACCAACCCAAACCAAGTGCGAAATCATTGGAAACGAATAGGTATATCAAAAAGACGCCATTTAAATGATGTTCCAGCGAACTTGTGGAAACTCGCGCTTATTCATCTCGCACGCCATCGACGACATCGCCATTGTTCGCAGGGCCACTTCCTCTACGGACGCCCACGCCTTTGAGCTTCTCGACGGGCTGGCCTTCATCGGTCTTCTTTGGGGAGTCTTTGTCTGAAACGATCTGCACGTGCTGCTCTCGCGCGCGATGACGAAGGTTCTTGGCTTCTTCGCCTGACGAGGAGGCGATGATGGAGGTGTCGCTTTCGCTGCCCCTGTGTGGATGGGCGAGCAATGCGGACCCGGAGAGGCTCTCGTGGCGGACCATGTGATACCTGTCGTACTCCTCCTCGGTGTGTTCTGCGTCAGTGAAGCTGTTTAAGGCGTCAAAGACGTGCTGGAAGACTTGGCTGTCCACGTCGCGCGCCCACAAGAAGTCGAGATGTTCGTAGTGCGGGATCTCCGTGGCGACGGTCTGGCGCGGGAGTTCCTTGAGCATGGACTTGATGTCGACGAGGGAGTCGCTGCCTCCGTAGACGAGGACGACGGGGGTCTTGATGTTGCGGGTGGGATACTTTGCGACCTTGGAGTATTTGCTCGACGAGGCCAGGCTCATGGGCTGGTAGACGTCGTCGTCGTACATCTGGAAGCACTTGTTGCGGATGATCTGGAACCAGTGGACGACGCTCTTTGTGCTTGTGAAGGAGTACAGGTGAGGGTAAGCGGCGAGTTTCTGGCTCGTGGAGATGTTCTTGGCGCGCCATCCGAAGAGGAACGACAAGCCCATGTCGATGAGACGGCAGAACAAAGGCGGGTATAGAAGAGTCTCCCACATGGTGGCGGAGCTGAGAATGGACCGTCTGCCGAACATGAGGTAGAGAACCGATGGTGAGGCCTTGACCAGGGAGTCGACGACGCCATTTGATAGCCCGGCTGGTGCCATGGCAGGGGCGAGAGCGATAAAGACGTTGACTTGCTGGTTTAACTTGGGATGGATGGCCAGGGCTGCGAATGCTTGAGCAGTTCCTTGCGAAAAGCCAATGTACGAAAGGCTTTCCTGTCCGGTCGTTTCGAGGATGTACTCGATGCTGTTTGGAATATCGTGGAAAGCAAATTCATCAATGGAAAAGTCCCAGAATTCGACCGAGGTGGGCGAGCTGTGAATGGATTTCTTGGAGTATTTGTTGCCACGGTTGTTTCCAAACTTGATGGGTCATTGTCATTAGCAAAGACTATGGCCGTCACAAAACAGACAGGGCATGAATACCGGCTTACCCAGACGTCAAAGCCTCGTTCTACAAGCTCAAAAGGCAAGCATCTCTGCTCATCCGTCAGGCAGACCCAGACTTCGGAATTCATCAGCAAGCCGTGGTGCAGGTAAGCAACGCGCTTCTTGGCGCTGTTCCGGCCGCAGTTGACTCTCTGGCCCTCTTCTCCTCTTCGCCACTGCAGACGGTGCAAACCCAGCAGGTACCCATCTTTTGTCTGAACTATGTGTTCTTCTGCTTCGTACCCCCACAGCTGGCACATCTCAACGAAATCGGACGCATCGCGCACGGAGGTGGAAATAGCTGAGAGAAGTGTCAGTCAACAACGTGTAAAGGAGGAAAGGCACACGCTGAGAGTTTCGTCGGACATAAAGGGAACCAACATTTCTTCTTGCTCTCCGCTTTCTTCTGCGCCGGGGAGGAAAATACGTTGAATAATCGTCGCGAAGCTCGGTAGAAGAAGGTGACCAGGAACGAGGCTAGATATAAAGGGGTAAGCAAGTTGTCGCTGCTGATGGAAGGCTCGTTGGTACTAACGCAATGCCAGTGTCAGAACTCGAATAATTGCTTCGAGGCCGACGAGGAAGAAGGAAACGACAATTGAAATGTATTCGGTGCTATACACAGCCATGGTAAGTAAACGGCGGTACCCTTGAGCATAGACACGAACAAGGCCGTGGGATAGAGACGGTACATACGCATGAAGCCTACCGATAAATGGGAGAGGCATTGTGAGGAGAGAACGGGGCCTCGCTTGGTTTCAGTTCTGCTATGAGGACCGTTCCATTATCGCCTCGTGCTGGCAAGGCAACGTGTATCCAAAGAAAGAGGAAAAATAATAGGGAAGCGAAATTTGAAATCTGGGAGAAAGTTGCGGCAGGATCTAATAAATCTAGGGGATCGCCGCCAAAGTGATGTCACATGTAAATCTCCCAAAGGGTCAGGTGGGCCCTTTTTGATGGCTTACCCTGGAGAAAAGCTGGGGGAAGAAATCGGTCAAGGATTGGGCCAACCAGAAGGCTGTACGAAGTTCGGAAATGGGGATGGTTGGCTCGTTTGTTTGGGTGTAACGTGGAAGAGTGAGTTGGCAAGTTGGCTAGTGTTGCTTTAGAACCGGATAAAGGAATTGTGGCGGATGATGCTTGTGACGCTTGAGTTGCTTATAGTTCAATGTGGAAGTATGGGGCAATTTATTCGGCAGTTGATATGAGATGCCCACCCTGTAACTTTCTTCACTTTCAAGATAAACATGGATACCACTGCTTATAACGCATGATAAATAAGACTTTTTACCAAGCCATAAAGTCATTGTAAAATGGAAGGGAGAAGTAAAGTCTGGGGATTAGCCATCAATATTGCTGCTCGTCTTAGTCCGTTAGAATCACGGGCATCTCAAACTCGCCTGTGGGGGGCGCCAAAGTCAATCAAATGCTAGCTGCAGCCCACACACAGCCCACCAATCAAACTCCAACCCCACGGACAGCCTTTTGAAGCTTCATCGAACGACTTTTTTAAGAAAAAGCAGCCTCGCCCAAAGATCCACAAGACAAAGCCCTCAACGCCGAATAATCCGCATCTATACATTGCGCGCATATCCCCAACATGCCGAACTCGTGCCAGGAACTCCGTATGTCCCTGTCCCTCCCCCCGCCGGCCAGCCTCAAGCCATGCCAAAGCACAAACCCGCTGATAAATCCACAGGCGATGCCCTCGCGCAATGCCTCCAGGAATCCGACTGCGTCATGATCTACCGCAACAAGGCCTCCGACTGCCTCCGCGAGCCCCTGTCGTCGACCCTCCCGACCAAGTGCCAGCAGCTCAAGAAGGGCTACGGCGAGTGCAAGCGTGGCCTGGTCGACATGCGGAAGCGCTTCCGAGGGAACATGCCCGTGACGTATCGCTCGGTGGAGGCTTCGGAGCAGGGCAAGGGATACCAGCTGTACGCGGGCAGGTCTGCGTTTGGAGGCGGCGTCAAGGAGACGGACGGCAATGAGCCGATTGAGCAGGACTGGAGGGAGGCTGAGAATGAGAAGTACCGGCTGGAGCAGCAGAGGCTGGCACAGAGCGGGAAATAAAGAGACGGACGAGGTTTATATGAAGAGTGGAATGAGGGAAGACAGGGAAAGGAGAAACAGGAGGGTATAAAAAGATGAGAGCGAATTATGGTGCATGGTATGGCGTTTTTGGCGTTGAATTTGGGAGCAAACTCATCTCTGATGCTTGCAATATGGGGATTGGTCACTTGGGTGGTCACAATGATAGAGAGAAGGGGGGGCGGCAAATCTCTATGTCTTCTATAGAGCCTGTGCGTGTATGCTATATGATCCTCGAACATGATGGAAGGCCTTGATGATGGCTTGTACAATGAAATGAACGGTGTATATTAGTATGGAACTTCAAACTCTTGAACACCAGGCCGTGACATATGTATCTGTATCTACCCCTCCTTGTCCCATCTCAACCGCAAACCTCAAGTCATTTATTCAATCAATTGGATACCTCCTTGCAAACCAACTGCCGCAATCCACGCAATGCCTCCTGTCGGATCGGCGATTGGGGAAACGCCGTCTCACGTGTCGTTCGTTGCCGGTATCCGTGATTCCAGCGGCTAGCCCAATCACTAAGACGCAGCTAAAAAAGGAGGAAATGAATGTGATGAAAGCAGAAAGGGAGAGAATGAGTCTATAGTATCGTACCGCTCTGCAGTTTTTCTTTACGAATTGACATAGCATCATCAGTTAATCAATCTATCTATTTACTAGAGATAATCTCCGATACTGTAATCCATGTAGTATTGTATGGGTAGCCGTCCATAGCACGCGCCGTTACATGTGCAGCCACTAACATCGCCTGGAACCCGCTGCAAGCTCCTAGGAATGGATCTAAGCGCCTTGGCATTCAGCTGCTGTCGTCATCCCAATAAACCCACCCATGAAAACAATTCGCAGATTGCGGTAGAACAGCACGAGACACAGTTTGTCTGGAGAAGTATGTAAAAGCCGACCCTTGCAGGACAAAGTACCTGCTAAACTATCTTTAATGAAGGTTACGCGTACTGTACTAGCAGATAAGAAAAACTTACAGGCTGTGCTGAGGAGAAAGAATATAGCTGGGCTCCTCTCAATAGTCTCATCCGTTTAAAATTAGTATTTTCCCTTGCCCTGCTTTGCCTCTATCTTTTTCTCCAAGTCACGACCCTTTTACGAACCTTTCTCCAATTTCAAAACTCCTCAATTTGAATCCAACTGGATGGCTTCGATCTCCCGGTGATCTAGTCCTTTTTTGTTCTTCTACTTGTTTACACTGGACCAAAAACAGCCATCACCACCTCCATCATCATCGTCAACAACACCAAAAAAACGTCACCGGCCAACAGGCACCTCTCGCCACCCATGGCCCACCAAACCCATCGTCGACTCTTCATAGCAGCCGCCGTCTTCTTCCTCATCACCAGCTCCTACCTCTGCGCCACGCGCCTCTACAACGCATCCTTCATCCGCGGCGCCAAGGACGACGAGACAAAGCCGTCGTCTCCCTCCCCGCCAAAGCCCGTCCACGTCCACCTCACCGACGCCGACCTGTCCATGACATACGGCTCGTTCCGCCGCCCCAACATGGACGGCCTTACGCTCATGGCGAGCCTGCCCGACGAGCTCGTGCCGACGTTTGAGAACAAGCGCCGGCTGGTCATTGTCGGCGACATCCACGGCATGGACGCCGTGCTGGAGACGCTGCTGAAGAAAGTCGACTTCGATGCCAGCAGGGACCACCTTATTGCTACGGGCGACATGATCAACAAGGGCCCGGATTCTCCTGGAGTCGTCTCGCGCCTGATGCGCCTCAACGCCAGCGCCGTGCGCGGCAACCACGAGGACCGCATCCTGCTCTCGCTGGCCGAGGCCGAGTCCCAGACGGGCGTCAGCAAGGACCTCTCGTCCGCCGACGCCGAAGCTCACCGGGGGGAGTCCGAGTTCCTGGCCACGGGCCGCAAGCTGAGCAGGGAGCAGGTCCAGTGGCTGGCCAAGCTCCCCGTCATCCTCTCCGTCGAGCCGCTGCGCATGTTCATCGCCCACGCCGGCCTCGTTCCCGGAGTGCGGCCGGAGCTGCAGGACCCTTGGGCCGTAATGAACATGCGCACCCTCATCTACCCCCGCGAAGATATGCGCAAGAACGAGCTGAAGAAGACGAAGCGCGACTCAGCCAACAACAGCACCTCGGACGAAGCAGCACCCCAATCCCCTCCCCCCACCGATCTACCATCCGAATCTGAAAAAGAAGAAGAGGAAGAAGGCGAGACACTCGAGTCGATTGCCCAAAAGGACGCCTACACCGACCGCGAAGTCGCCATCCCCGTCGAGGGCCGCGACGGCGAGAAGTGGGCCAACGCATGGAACCGCTTCCAGAAGCGCCTCAAGAAGTCGCACCGCTACACCGTCGTCTACGGGCACGACGCCAAGAGGGGGTTCCGCCAGGAGCGCTACACGTTTGGCCTCGACTCGAATTGTGTCCGGGGCGGTGCCCTGACGGCGCTCGTGGTCGAGGGCAAGGAGGGCGGCAAGGGCGGGTTTACGCATACGGTGATGCAGGTGAACTGCAAGTGATACGGGGTCTTGATTTTCACTGTTTTGGAGAGAATATATATGGACTTGTTTTTGAGCTTTATAGTTGGATTTTTGTTTTGAGAAGAGATATAATGACTTTTGACGGATAGAAAAGGATGGTTAGAGGGCTGGCTGTAAGATACCTGTGGGCATATATACCACATACCGTTTTTTGTTTTAACTGTTAAGCATACCGCCTTGCAGAAGTGATATAGCACAATATAACATGAATTCGAACGATACAATTTACCATATTACAATAAACGCTTAATTGGTATTACATTCTTTTTCTTTTTTTGGTATTTAAAAAAAAAAATCCATTTCGGACATAGATACATAACCACGGGCCGCTAGCCACATTTTCGGACCCTCTGCATTTTTGTTTTCAACAAACCAAAATAACATTTCATCGCAAAATTATCGCACACACACGCCCCTTACCGCTTCACACTTCCAACAGCTTAAGCAGACAGCTTCTGCTTAAGGATGTCCTTGAGGGTGACGGCGTCGGCAGCGAACTTGCTGATACCCTCACGCAGCTTCTCGACGGCCATCTGGTCCTCGTTGAAGTCGAATCGGAAGGTGGCCTCGTCGTTGATGTAGGTCTTCTTCTCAATGTCCAGAGCGGCGGCAGCGGCGCCGTCGAGCTTCTTGGGGACAGCCTCGTTGGAGTTGAGGAGGTCCTCGAGCAGGTTGGGCTGAGAAATGACGTGTTAGTTATGAAAAACTCCAGACAAGGGGAATTGTCTCATCAAGGGGGCGGGCTCTTACAGAGATGGTCAGGTAGTCGCAGCCAGCGAGCTCAGTGATCTCGCCAGTGTTTCGGAATGAGGCACCCATGACAATGGTCTTGTAGCCAAACTTCTTGTAGTAGTTGAAGATGGCCTTGACGGAGGCGACACCAGGGTCCTGCTCCTTGGCGTACTCCTTCTTGGTGCTGGCCTTGAACCAATCAAGGATACGGCCGACGAAGGGGGAGATGAGGAAAGCACCGGCCTCAGCAGCGCCGATGGCCTGGGGGAGAGAGAACATGAGGGTCAGGTTGCAGTTGATGCCGTGGTCGCGCTGCAGGATCTCAGCGGCCTTGATACCCTCCCAGGTGGAGGCAATCTTGATGAGGACGCGCTCCTTGGGGATACCGAGGTCCTTGTAGAGCTATAATTGGGTGACAATGCGGTTAGCTCCTGTCTGGTCATACAGTCTGAAGACAAAAATCTCCTCCGATGAAAGCTTACCTCGATGATGTGCAGGGCCTTGTCGACAGAGGCCTTGGTGTCGAAGGAGAATCGGGCATCAACCTCGGTGGAGACCTTGCCGGGGACAATGGCGAGAATCTCCTTGCCGAACTCGACCAGCAGGCGGTCGAGAGCAGTGTCGACCTGGTGGTCGAGGTCACCGCCCTTGCCCTTGGCGTAGTCGATGGCGACATCTATCAGCTTGGCGTACTCGGGCTTCTTGGAGGCGGCCAGGATGAGAGAGGGGTTGGTGGTGGCATCCTGAGGCTTGTACTTGGCAATGGCTGTGAAAACGCGTCTCCAGGTCAGCTTGTGTTGCGCTCGAACTCAAGTCGGGAGAGAGGGGATAAGATAGCACTGCTGCTGCTGTTGATTCCAGCCAAAAAGCAGCTGTGAATTCTCAATGAGAAATGGAGAAAATTAGAGAGGAACTAACCGGCAAAGTCACCTGTGAGGAGCAGTTGGTTAGCTGATGCGTCATCATACGTTTGGGGGGCGGATGGTGCGGGAATTTACCAGTGTCAGAAACGACAACCTGTTCGTCGCCAAAAGAAAATCAATTGTCAGCACGCAATCCGATGGTAGCAACCAGAAGCCATTGACCATCGCCGAGCCTTGTCGGTCAATGAAGCTGCGTTGCTGAGCTCCAAGGCCAGCAAAGAAACCGGGCGTTTGAAGCTCGCAAAGCAATTTCGCCCCTCGTTTGGAGGGGTACAAGTTGTTTGGCTTTGGCGGGGTAGCAAAGTCCAGGTTCGGGGAGGAGGGAACGTACGGTGCCAGAGGCCTTAAGCTGGTCAAGAGAGCTGCTCATTGTGTCTGTGTGAGGAGGAATGGTGAATGATTTTCGAAGAGGAAAAACAGGAAGAAGGAGTTTTGGTTGTGGAGAGAAGTATGGAGAGATTGGGAGCAGGAGAGAGTTTGGCGGATGAGATGATATATAGTCTGGGCTACTATACACCGTGTTAGTGCCTTAGCCCAGCAACAAGCATCTCCGTCTGTCTTGCTAACTAACAGCTCAACAACTGTTTCGCCCCCCTTGCCCGGAGCGGGGGCCATTAAGTCATTGTGGCTCCCCCCACCGTCCGCCCTTTGCACCTTGAGGCCTTAACTAACCTCTCTTACTCTTCCTTAGCCGCAAAGTTCCCAAAGTTCCCAGCAGCATTGCCGGGCCCCAGTTGTTTCTGCCCTTTGCCTTTGTCACCATCACATAACCTGAGGTAATCAAAATCCAATCCCGGCCGGCCGCTGTTTTGCCGGGGTCCAGGCATATCGGTGGCCTCGCCTCAAAAAACGTGGCCAGCGTGGGCGACAGTCACCCGTTTCTCTCTTCCCACGGCCCTATTCGCCTCTTCGGCTCCACCGAACCCCCGGCGGGAACTTTGGGAACCTTTTCGCTGGGCGCCATTTGGCAGTTCAAGCACACTGTTTGTGTTGTTTGTTTCCCGGGCTCACCAGCATGGTCCAGTTTCTAGTAGGTAGTGATACGGGGAGCTCGCGGGCCGCACCATCCACGGTCGCAAGGTTTGCTCCGTCCTGTAAGGCTATGCGAGGCCCTGTAG